ACGCACCTTGAAAAAGACACCCTTGGGGTGCCAAAGCTCGAGCCGGATGGCTCGAACTGGTCGATGTACAAAACTCGCCTCGAATGGGCCCTTGCTGACCGAGACTGCGTCGAGCACCTCCATGGCACAGCAAAAAGGCCGATACCACTATCCCAGACCACTAGCCAGACTGCTGGCCAGGCCACAGCGACGACATCTCCTCCTGCAACAGTCAGCAAGGCTGATCAAGAAGCACTTGATGCCTGGCTAAAAAAGGAGTACCGCGTGCGAAATATATTAGGTCGCACCATACCTGATTCGACGCTGCGAAGGATCCTAAACAAACCCACCGTCGCCGACATGTGGGTCATGATCTGCCAAGAAAACGAGAACAAAACGGAGCTAGTTCAGTCCGAGCTAAGAGAAAGGTTGTCGAACCTACGCTGCACCGAGAAAGGAGACTTGCGCGCACATTTGGACAAGATTCGCGCGCTATGGGAACAGCTCAGCGCAGCAGGAGTCCAACTAGCAGACAAAGAACTCACCTCCAGCATCATCATGTCTTTGCCGCACTCATACGCCACCTACGTGTCGCACCTGTCAGCGTCTGCCCATATGTCAAAGCAGACCTTGGACCCAGAGACACTGATCTCGTACCTTCTCCAAGAATACGACCGACAGACCATATTCAGAAAACGCCCGACAGCGAAATCAGAGGACATCGCTATGTCAGCCACCGGAGGACAAGGATCGTCCAAACGTGGAAGTCGAGGCGGAAGAGGTCGCTACAAGAAAGGAAAATCATCTGGCGGCAGAGACGACAAGGATACCAGCGAGCTTGAATGCTGGAACTGCGGTGGAAAGGGACACAGGTCACACCAGTGTCCCAGTGAGAAGCGTGAGCGCTCCACAAAGAATGAGTCAAAAGGGGACTCACCAGGAGACAAGAAAGAAGAGGGGCAAACAGGCGATGCAAAGGGAAAGAAGCCTGAAAAGGCAAACCTTGCTGTCCACGTCCAATGCGACAGCGCGAGCCTATCAGATTTTGAAGAAGAAGGCGCGTGGAGCGCCCTCACTCACCAACTCGCCATGAACGCGAAGCCCAAGAGTCCCATTGAAATCTATGACTCCGGCGCTACGAGCCACTTCACCCCCCATCAACACCTCCTACTCAATTACCGCACGATTGCACCTTACCCTATAAGCGTGGCAAACCAAGACTCCTTCTCTGCTGTAGGAACAGGGAATATGATGATTAGTGTCCCCAACGGCGCCCATAAAGACACGCAAGTGCGCCTGAGAGACGTGTTATACGCACCAAATTTGGCCTATACCCTAGTTTCCATAGGCTGTATGGATAAGGCAGGCTACAAGGCCGTCTTTGCGAAAAGCGAATGCGTTATCTATGACCCGAGAGGAAAAATAAGAGGACGCATACCTAAAGTAGGTGGTGTGTACCAGTCGCGAGGCACAAATCTTCGCCACGAAAGCGCCAATGCAGCTGTCGAGCGCATATCTGCCACTGAACTCCACAAGCGCCTTGGCCATATAGCCATTGATGCAGCAAAGTGCATGGTGTCGAAGGGCTTGATCCATGGGGTAGAACTCCTGGAGGATAGGGAAACAGACACTTTCTGTGAAACTTGTGTCCGCGCCAAGGGCAAGCGCGAGGCAATCCCTAAAGTGAAACTGGGTGAGCGTGCACAGGAATATGGCCAGGAGATCCACACCGACCTATGGGGACCTGCACCAGTCGAAACGCTGGGTGGAAAACGGTACTATGTTGCCTTTACGGACGATAAGACACGCGAAACACATGTTTATCTACTGCGCGATAAATCCGACACTTTCCGTCAATTCCAAATGTATGAGGCCTGGGTCCGCAACCACATGAATGCAGCAATCAAAGTCTTACATAGCGACAGGGGTGGCGAATATATGAGCAATGCGTTTAGTGACTATCTGAAAGATAGAGGAATTATGAGGAAACTCACAGTGCATGACACCCCCGAACAGAACGGTGTTGCAGAGCGCGTGAACCGTACCCTACTCGAAAAAGTACGCGCCCTCTTACTTAGCAGTGGCCTGCCGAAATTCCTGTGGGGGGAAGCCATCAAACATGCATGTTGGTTGAAGAACCGCACCTCCACCAAGGCACTAGACAACATGACGCCGTTTGAAGCGGCACATGGTGTCAAGCCGGATCTTGCTGGCCTACACGAATGGGGCTGCAATGTACTCGTGCACGACGCAACTGGCTCAAAGCTTGAGAGCCGAGCTAGGAGGGGTCACTGGGTCGGTTTTGATACCGAAAGTCTCGGACACCGCATCTATTGGCCAGAGAATCATTCAGTCACTGTTGAGCGCTCAGTGCATTTTGACGTCGCGAATGTACCTGTAGATGCTGACAACGAACCTCCCTTTGGGCTTGAGGGGGAGCATGATGTCCTGGACCAAGCGCCAAAGGAGAGTGACATTGTAGAACTTAGTGATCACATACCTCATCCCGATTCACCCAATCCCCAAGCAATCCCTGACCCACTATACCCTCAGGATCAAGATCAAGCTGATCCTGATCCCATCCTACCAGCTCCGGTTCTTCCACCTCCACCTATAGTTGCTCCGCGTCGAAGTACCCGCATTCACCAGCCAACCCAATATGTTCGCGACCTCCTACAAGGAAAAGGATCAGTATCTGGAAATAATGGACCCACCTTACCCAAAGGCATCCAACTGAACGTCGACGATCCGGATGGGAGAGATGAGGAGGAGAGAGATAATGAAGCACTAAGGGATCTCGCCCAAAATGTAGCCATGGTGGCACGCATGGCAGATCTCGAAGGCGTTGAACCCAGAACTATTGAAGAAGCCCGAAAGCGCCCAGACTGGCCAAAATGGGAAGAAGCGATCAATGAGGAATTGAACAGGCTTCGAGTAGCAAGAACATGGACTTACATTGAGAAACCCAAAGATGCGAACATCGTAGGGAGTAAATGGGTGTTCAAGCTAAAGAAAACAGCGTCAGGATCCATCGATAAGTACAAGGCAAGGCTTGTAGCACAAGGCTACAGCCAAGTGGAAGGAATAGACTATTTCGACACATTTGCCCCCGTTGCAAAGATGGCATCGCTACGAATCATCTTAGCGATGGCTGCTCGAAATGATTGGGAAACTCACCAGATGGATGTAAAAAGTGCATACCTAAACGGCGAACTAGAAGAAAACGAGGTCATCTACATGCGACAACCGCCTGGTTACAACGCACCTGGAAAAGAGACCCAAGTCCTGCGCCTAAACAAGACACTCTATGGCCTGAAGCAGGCCGGCCGCAGGTGGTATCAGACTCTATGCGACGGACTCCAGAAAATTGGTTTAATTCGCTGTGAAACAGACCATGCAGTTTTCCATAGGCGCAATGAAGGAGAGCTCACCATTATTGCAGTTCATGTAGACGACATGACTCTCGTCACACCATCAATGACTGAGATGAACCGTTTGAAATTTGACCTAGGAAAACTCTTCGAAGTTAGTGACCTGGGGGAGCTACATTGGATGTTAGGAATAGAAGTGAAAAGAGACAGAAGCACACGCACCTTATACATGTCACAACGCAGCTACCTCGACACTATTGTCAAACGCTTCAACCTAGAAGATGCAAAAATGTTAGCGATCCCAATGGTTGCTAGCACCTACCTGAGTAAAGACCAGAGCCCCAAGACGCCTGAAGACTACGCAGAAATGCGAAACATCCCATATCGAGAGGCCGTGGGATCACTGATGTATGCGGCGATTGGCACACGCCCCGATATCGCGCATGTTGTTGCAATTCTTTCTCGTTTTGTCGAGAACCCAGGTCCGGCCCATTGGGAGGCAGCAAAAAGGGTGATCCGGTACCTAAAAGGGAGCAGAGAGCTATGGTTAGCATACGGTCCGGAAGAACAGCCACTTACCGGATACACCGATGCAGATGGGAGTATGAACGAGACCAGGCGAGCCATATCAGGCTATGCCATGATGCTTGATGGTGGCGCCGTCTCGTGGTACTCGAAGCAACAAGAAATTGTCGCGTTATCAACGACAGAGGCCGAGTATGTGGCTGCGACACATGCCACTAAGGAACTACTGTGGGCGAGGATGTTCATCAGCGAACTCTTCAATCAAGACTTACCACCAACCATCCTCCTGTGTGATAACCAATCAGCCATAGCACTTTCGAAGGACAGTCAATACCACGCGCGAACCAAACATATCGATGTTCGGTACCATTTCATTCGGCACGCCATTGAAGAAGGGAAGATCGAGATTACTTATTGCCCAACTGAAGAGATGACAGCCGACGTGCTCACCAAGTCCTTGCCCTCTGCAAAGGTGAAACATTTTGCGGCTGCGTTAGGCCTACGTACCGCTTGAGGGGGAGTGTTAGAAAACGCGAGTCGACAAAGACAAGCGTCGTACGAAGGGAAAGTATGGCGCAGGACACCATACTAGGAAAGTGTAGTGGTAGGATGGCCCGTGCGTTTTGATGGGGCAATTTACCCCCTTAGTTATACTTCCGTTCGAGTTTAAAAACCTTCGTAGCAACGATTGCCCCACCTCAGAGCTTCGCCCACAAAGTCTGAGGTGAGGATCTTATACCTTCCTTATTTTATGTGATATACTTACTCTGTACCTAGCATTTGGTTTATATTAGGTACGCGAATACATTCTCAGAGCTTCGCCCACGAAGTCTGAGCATTTGGTTTATATTAGATCTCTTTGACTGTTGTCTAGTCAAGGCGATCTGTGAGTTGGATGGGGCTTGATTTTTGTCCTCTGTTTCCGGACTATGAATTTCTTCTATTTCGTCCATGCGATTAGAATCGGACTCGATATTGAGCTGCAAGGTGAAACTTATAATAATGAATAATGGCCAGTAGCACTAACTAGGGGTATGTGCAAGAACTTCGTGGTCTGTGTATTTTCATTCTCCGTTCTAACCGGGAGGAGCTGGGCCGAAGCAAAAATCGATTTTTTTGAAAAGTGAGAGTTCCCGTACGAGCTCTAAAAATTATATCACTGGTCAAGTTCCGACAGTCTAAAGCTCAACGACTGGTGAGTTATTCAACTTCTCCCCAGAACAATTGCACCTATTGTCTAATGATAGTATTTTTGGCCGAATGAGGCCTAAATAACTGGTTCTGGGTACAGTGGTGAGTTAAAGTCGTGTCGTGACTACAACTGTTACAGGGCTCTAAGCGGGCTCTAAGCCTTGTCCTGAACTCCCGCTCATCCTCCTCTCTCGAAACAGTGCAGCTGTGGAGGAGCCTGGTAGCCTATGGTACCAGGAATACAAATTTAATTATAGGATTGATCACACTAGTTTTTTCCAGATTTATTGGCCACATCTGACTCAAACTGATTTTCACTGGGAGACCTCCATCCTCGCATATTTACCTAACATGATACGTGCAGAAGACTTCTATCAGGTTGAAAATTCACCTCAGAAGGGTATTGAGAGCTATGTCAAGACGGACTACGCATCTCCACAACTGAGGTTCCTCGTTCAGGAGGAACTTTCAGCAATTGCCGAAGTGGAGGATCCAAAGCTAATGGCAATTATTTTTTACGATATCTTCAAAGGTAGGTCGCACGATCACGTTGCGCTGCATTCTTCTGACATTTCATGTAGCTATCAGGTGGCTGTTTGAAAATGCTGGGACACTGCATTGTGATATTAGCTACTCAAATGTGATGTTCTACTCTGAAAACGGTAAAATCTGCAGAGTCCTTCACGACTTTGACTCGGCGAGTACTGGCACACGTTCTACACCTACATCACAACGCACAGGCACCAAGCCCTACATGGCTGTAGATCTCCTCTCTGGTGATGATCCGGAGCACTTGTATCGACATGACCTGGAATCTCTTCTCTATGTCATGATTCGGCATGCGGGCCGTTTTGACGACCAAGGTCATGTGGTGGAAAACCCTCTCTTTGGGGAATGGGACGAAGGGACAAGGCAACTATATAAGACGAAACATACATTCATAACGTCTACGCCGAAATGGGACGAATACCTGACTGGCCGGTATTTGGCAGCATTCGGACCATGCTTTTCCGATTTGCACTGGATGTTTCGAGAAGGTTTTAGTGCTCGTGCTAAGGCAGAAGCAACACCCTCTTCCCGTCGCCCTGCTCGTTCTCGCTCCATTTGACCCGTTAACCCTGGGTGGTAATGTAACTTTTGATGAATATCCTTAGCGCACTAGCATCGCAGTCAAAGTAGGGCATTTTCGACGAATGGTCCAATGTAAATACTTGTTCCATTCAAAGCTACTTTCAACTTCCTATGTATTGGCAATTGGCTAATTAACTCCGCATGTATATGTGTTAAATAAACTATTGGTTTCAATCAGTGAAGCACTTCCTTGGAAATGACATCATCAGTGTTCACAGGTTTAACCGATACAACTCAATCACAATTTGCGCAATCTGGTACTAGTACTGGATCCAAACGAATGTCTAGACCCTCAGGCTTGCCTTGGACTGTCAGAAGTTCGTACCGATCTTTCTCAGAAAACCATCCATATCGTAGTCGACCAGCTGCTGGTATGTCGACAGCTTTCAAGCGTACCACTACCATGATGTTCAAGAGTCTCGCTCATTCACAAGCTGCAGAATCAGGTAAGTACTACTAGTATGCCAAATTTTGATCGGGCGATTAAAAGCTGTTGGATTGTCGTTGTGCTGCAGGCAATTGATGGCACCTCATATCCAGTTGTTCAATCCAGCATTCCCATACTTCTCCAGTAAGACATTTGACCCCGAATACAACGGTACTGGTGACCTATGTTCGCAAGCTCCACTGAACTTCCAATACGGCTCAGCGCTCAGTACCTCCACTATGATTCGCGTTGCGTATCCCATCATCTTCCGATCCGAACAACGCAAACACATGTCCCAATCCAACTCTGATCAATCTGACCTACAGGAGGGTTACCTAGTATATGGTGCCCCAAGCCAGAGGTTATGGTAGCCTCTCTTCTACTCTTTGTCGCAACATGATTGGTGAATACTAGTAAATGAAATTCAAGTATCATGCAATGTGAAATATACAATTCCATTGAGTTGTCCTAAACGGTTTAGATACAGTGATAATTATAGGGACAAAGGCCAGGTATATGGATGGTAAACTTGCACCAGCCTTTATATAGTATTTGTAAAGAAAGCGGACACCAAGAAAACAAGATCGTAACTACCAAAACCACAGCGGATCTGACGAGAAGCATGGGTGTCCAATCACAACCCCCCAGGGTATCACACGTAATTGACACCAAATAAAACATGGGCTACGTACTAACTAGTTGGGCACATCATAGTATCCAGGTGGAGGCAAGGAGCCTGCAACCGAGAAATCGTCTGTCAGCCTATTATTGCTCGCCGCCCGGGTATGTGGTCCGCGATCAGCAATCATACGTTCCATCACCCGTGCAATAGCAGACGCCGGTACATTATTGTTGTACAGGCTGTGCACAAAATCAGCCTGTTCGTCCGTGAGCGACAGATTCTCCCGCATCGCCGAGGGCGAAGACGCCAGTTCGTGCGTTGGGTGCGGCGGCGATGGGGGATGTGACCGCCCGCTTGTCATTTGCGTGCCTGATGGCGAGAGGATGCTGACGCTGGGATTGGCGAGTGCCATGTTTTGAACGAATTTTGAGGATGGTGGAGAGGAAGGTGGGCTTGTGGACGAAAGGAATGGTGTCGAAGCAGTCGGGTGGTCTGTAAACGGAATGGAAGTTGTTGTTCGTGTGATTGTACTGTTTAATACGGGTGGTGCGGGGTCGAAAGGAGTGGACGTGAATGGCATTGTGTCAAATGGCGTTGCGGGATGGTTCGCATGCGACGTTGCAGCTGGCCTGTTATTCCGCCTACGGAAGTAGAGTATGGCGAAGATGAGTGCGGTGACAACTGCAACGCCTGCGACCGCGCCGCCAACGACTGCTCCAATATTAATACTGTTATAATCAAGCATTAGCGCTTGTTCGTAAAAATCAAAACTTTGTAAAACTGACCCAGACTTCTGAGCGGTGGAGCCATTCGTTGTGCCAGTGGGTGCTGCAGAACTTGTGGCGGACGTCGACGCGGAAGAGGTGGTGGTGGGTGGCGGTGCAACGAATGTTTGGTTGATAGCTGCATAATCAAACATCATACCACTAAATGTACCAGCCCAATCCAAGACCATCAAAGTCAAAGTGTGATTTCCGGAAGGCAATGACTGCGCATTGAAGATAGAGACATTCGCGATTTCGGTGGGACCTGGAGGAGCATTTAGACTGTTCACTGTGGTTGCACCGTTATCGATCTGAAAACTGGCATTAATACCCTCGGCACCAGCTTGATACACGTAAATGGCTATGCCAGAACCTTTGATAGTTCATATGAGTACGTCCCTACCCAATATCAGAGAATCAAGCTTACCGCTGAATGGAATCTCGAGCTGACAATTGTTAGCGGTATTACAAGCAGCGTCTGATGAGAATGAGATGAGCGGGAAAATCGGTACAAATAGACGTGGCAGAACCTACAGGTACTGGAAAGTATATTAAGGACCGTTAATCAAAGCTGGTAGATAGCAGAAGAGCTCACTATGAGTGATTATAACAGGGAGTGGCATCGATCGGCATCATGGTACCGTTGGCCAAGGTCAGAGAGAGCTGTTCACCGCCGTTTGCGAATGGGCCCCATTTTGGACCGTTTGGATTCTCAGAATACTTGAGAGCGGAGGTATCTGTGTCGTCGATTAGCAACTGCTGTGAGTGGACGGTCGACGCAAGGGCGAGTACACCCAAAAGACGGGTCCTGGAGAAAAGAAACATAGTTGATTAGTGGAGGCGCCTTGTGCGCATTCCAGGACAAAAGGAAGAAAGCACAGCCTGTTCTGTTGAACGATCTTATGTGACGGAAGAAGGTGGATCTTTGTAGTAGTTTGTGCCTGATGTTGACGTCCTCAGCGCTGGTAGTTTCGTGAATATTAGGTACATCTGATACCCTGTATGAATGCTTTCCCAAAACTCATCACTTATCAGTCGGAAGCTTCAGAATGGAGTATGAGAAGAGCCTTGGGATAGGCGACCCAAATTATTGATGTTGCGGGTATCTTTTCTGGCTGCAGAAAGCTTGGGATGTGAATATTTATTGTGAACGTGTTGAATTGAATGTATAGCAGGGTCGCATGCCGCTGGGCGTGAATAAGAACGGGGACTTGTGTGGCTGTGGCGAGCGAGTATAACAATGTAGCTTTCCTTATCAGGACAGCTGATACCTGTGATGAGAGATGCTGATTTTTTAATTTCTCTTGCCAAAGACAAGTTGTTTCCCGTTGAAACTTATCTGCCATCGCAATGTGATCAGACGTTGAGAAATTCTTGCGATGGAAGGTTGACGGATGTGAGCGTCACGCTGAGATGGCGTGTTACGAATTTAATTGAGTTAGCCTGACAACGCCCGAAGCGGAATAGACGAACTTTACCTGGGGCTTATTTGGGCGAGAAGGCGCGGCTGCAAGAGTGCTCACCATTCTCTCCTACGCCTTGTCCAGTCTGCCAGTCTGCCCCATGCCTTCCTGGTACTCTCGAGGCGGATACTTGCCCCTCAGTGCCCAAGACTCCAGATATCACAAATCATTCTGGTCATTCACAAGACTCGCCCGCAATGGTCCTGCAGCTTTTGCTCTCATCGCAGTAGCCGTCGTGTCTGCCATATTCACCGCTTTTGGCCTCCTCTCCTTCGGTCATCGTCCACAGTCTATTTCCTGTGCTTCCCCGTTATCCTCAGATACCTCATACGAAAATCCTGTAATACCACCACCTGTACACATGGCAGAACCAACAGAAGTCGAGTCAAACAACGATGAACTCAGTCTCGAGGCTCTCAGAGACATGGTAGCCCACACAAAGGGCTACTATGCGCGTGACTATAGTATGGGTCTGGGCTGGAACAACGTGAGTTGTCCCTACTATACGTTTCTACTCAAACCCACTCTTTCCTTCCAGATGCGATACATTATCGAAACCGCTCTTTTACATGGCCAGTTACTTAACCGTACAGTTATCACACCTTCCTTTGTCTATGCGCGCTCCTGCGAATTTGATATGTAAGTCATCACCGCTCACTCTATCCTTGCGCCAACCACAATCCCCATCTTTAGTTCAGTCTGCGCAGCATACGCGCCTATGGTCAACAGAGGAGACGCCATCAATTCAGACGAATGGCGCCAGCTTCCTGATGATCAGCAGATGTCCTGGCGCATACCCACTCCACTCATGTTCAACTTCACCCATATACGGAAAACGCAGGCCGTGATCACTGTCTCAGACTATCTCCGTCTACACAACGTTTCAGAGGATGCCGAAATGAGCGACGGTCGCTGGGACACATCGGTTTATCACCAAAATACCAACGTGTTCGAGACAAATGAGCACAAGAAGCCTAGTTTACACGTCATTGAAAACTGGTGGTACGACCCTTCTAATATCAACCGTGTTGATGCTATACCAGAGGACATGAAGCTTCGAGGCCAGTGGAATAACGATGCTGGTGACAGAGGACAAGGCCAGGTTGGCGGCTGGAAGAACCTCGATAAATCACCACTATACCTTGCCCTGGAGGCTGCTTTACCAGAAGACCGCCTCGTTTTAGATTGGAGTTCCGCCCGTAGCATCGTGCAAAGAAACGGGCATACATGGGATGTTACTACAGATGAAGCCACTGAAAATGCACTAAGAGAGAATGGTTGGGAGGTGCTGTATACCTATGAAGGAGCGTAAGTGTTCCTGCACGTCTCTTTATTGATCATATCCTGATGCTCGAAATCCAAGTCTAGGAATGGAATACGTCAAGAATGTCGTAAATCCCATACGTCAAGTGGTTCCTCGACAAAGTATACGTGGTGTGGAAGAGGATTATGGTGATCTCAATGAGGATGTCGTCCTCTTGAGGGGTGAAATCCACTACCAACGTAAACCAGTTCGTATATGCTTTTGATATTTCTTACCAATGTTTTTGCTAACACTTATTTTTCTAATGGCAGGGCAGTCTTCGCTTCACCACACCCGAAGGCCGGGATAGATTTTCGCGTCTAGTCTTATATGAGATGCGCGCTATTGATAAAGTCTTGGAATTGGCTACGTCACTAGGTAATCGCATGACTGAACTGAATGGTGGGAGAATGTGGATGGGAGCCCACATGCGTCGTGGAGACTGTACGTTCTGCTCACCTTTATTACTACAGTACTCGACAATCTCACCCACCCTTGTATAGTCGTCAGAGTCAATTGGGCTATGGAGTCAGAATTTGGTGCCCATTTTGAACGGATCCAAAAGCGCCTCGACGATGGTCGAAGAGTGCTCCGCTCGCTACACGACAGCTCACTGATCCCCTATGCTATCCCTGAAGCTACGATCGACCAATCCATTCTCCAGCAGAGCCCTCCAGAGGATGGCGACAGGTATGTTCTCCCTCCTCATGATACCGCTTCTCTGATTAAATTGTGCTTGGCAGGTTCTACATCGCCACAGACGAACGCGATCCTGGAAACGTAGCATACATGAAAGACCACGGAGTAGTCCTGGTATCGGACCTTCTCACAATAGAAGATCGTCGAAACTTTGGCTGGCCGTTAATGATGACAGACGTTCTCGGTATCGTCGAACAGGCTACTTTAGCGCGGGGCGCTTATTTCTATGCTCATGCCTTGAGTTCAGTTGCTGGAGGCGTCGTCAACATCCGTGCAGCGAGAGGTGCTGATCCGCGTACTGCAAAAATCGACTAGATTTCGCAAAATGCATAATGGAACGTACTAGCAAGGATTCTCGTAACGTCCTCAATAAAATTCATATTTCTTTCTTGCATGACGCATATCGACATATCATTGATTCTCACCACTCTTTGTATACCTGTAGATGACTCAGGCTTATATCTTTGTGTAGTTTATTATTGTTAAAGTGTAATAATGTTTTCTTAACCATGACCGACAGAAACGTGTTTCAGATCCACAATCCAACTTCAGGCTAAGGGGACAGGCTATGTGGCCTCAAGAAATTCCATCAAAACCTCAAAGTACCTATAACGACCGCATTAGCTTACTAGTGAACGAGCAATCGGTCAAAATAATATAACTCGCCTATCTGGCTCCTCAAACTGAGCTAGATGCGAGCTATTCTGAAGCTCAACCCATTTGATCTTTTGAATATTCCGAAACCACGGGAGAACGGCCGCTTTTTGGACAGAATCCCTTGGCGAGCTGATCAGAAGTGTAGGGTATGGAATTTGGTGCAGGATGTCAACTATCGACCATTTCTTCAAAGACCCAGTTGCGTGAAATTCAGACGGTCCAAACCTGAACCAAGTTGGCGGCATCAGAAGAAATCCGGTATTCAGTGTGTATGGACTCACATAGTGCGATACACAGTAGGATTAGCATCGAGGGATGCAAACGACTCCACCAGCTCTGCAGGCCAAGGGTCCATATTACAAACGTGCTTCTTGTAGAACCCTTGCATCCCATCTTGATATTCCTGTGCATCGGTAGTCTCCTCGGTTTCATGCTTCCTCAGCATCTTGACAAGTTCTTCTGGGAACTCGTTTAAGAGTTCGCTTGTGCCTGCTTCGTATAATTCAACTGAAGCGGGAGAGTTGGCGATGATAAGACGTTTCAGGCCCTTTGGAGCGCGTTCAGCTGCATAGTGCCCCCCAAGCATACCTCAGTAGGCCCTCGTGAGACAAAGTTGTAAACAACAAAGAAGGCTTTTACCTCCCCACGACTGCCCCAAGAGGTCGAAATCATTCTGAATTCCTAAATGTTGAAGTAAGTTATCCAGCTCGTCCATGAACAGCTTCGGTGTCCAGAACTCGTCGGGTGCATCGCGAACATGACTAGACTTTCCATTTCCTATCTGATCGTAGAAGACCACCGGAATGCTATGATAAGACGTTGCATTATCATCACCTGACCATTAGTTAATTAAAATGAAGGAAATACCCTGCACGGGTAGATAACGTCGTGTGAGGTCTTTCCGGTCGTCAGCCAAATGTCACCGTAGCGTATTACAATATGACTTACAACATGTAGTGATGGCTCATTCCGGGTCCTCCATGAAGAGCGACAAGAGGGCGACGAGCACTAGACCTGAGATCTCCAATTACCTTGTACCATGTCTGATACGTCTTTCCACCAACCTGGAAATCCACTAGACCTGTAGTTTCTAGAACCATGACTGTGCGTCTTTGGGATAAGATGGGATTCTGGACAGTATATGGTTTCGGGAATGCCTTTTATCATGATAGTGCACGTAGATCGCCCGACACACGACCGCCATATGGACTTGATCGTGTGAGACAACCTGCTAAAAGGGATGAGAAATCCCTGGATAAGATAAAACTCCTTTGGAAGATAGAAAATGGATCACAAGACTCTTGCGTAGTCTTCAGGCATCATGGGAGCTCTACAAACTGAATTCTATTCCATAGTTCGCATGTTTGATATAATCAATTTCAAATATTCGCATAAATGGCTAAAAATTCCGCGAGAGAATACTCTTTAGTTCCTAATCTCATTTTCCCATCGTTCTAGACAAATTGTATGCCGCCGAAATGAGGGTGACATGACTGAAATGGGGAGACAACAGATGAAGCAATGATCTTCATAGAAGAAGGGAGGATACTCACGTGAAACCTTGTACAGCATTGCCCAAACTACAAAAAAAATCGACATAAATAAGGCTTTCCTCAAGGAGAAAATGTGCTCACCCTTCTCCAGCTTCAGATATCTCTTCGGTGCACAACCCAACATGGTTGGAATACAATAAGAAATCCTTAAAGAGATCGAGTTAGCAATACGTTTGGCGGTCAATCAAGTAGGTCCCTTACCTCAAACATAGATATAGCTTTTTGCAGTAACTTTCTATCGTATTCTCCGGCGCGCGTAAGAGCTTCGACACACCTATCGCAAACAAACAAAAAACAGTATCAGCAAAAGACTCACGAGTTACGATGATTCGTGTTTATACCATAGGGTGCATAAGCAGAATGTTCCTTCTTCACCTCCCACTCCGTCGTCAGACTTATTTACATCATAGCGATACACGAGATTCTGTAGACGACTATCAGTGGTAGACCCAATGCGGTATGGCTTTCTCCTACATTTGAAGTAAGTCCTCCCCTTTCTGGTGTTTTCAGAATTTGCTTGAGTGTATTGACAAAGCGAGGGTCGCACTGATATGTGTCACATCAGATTAGGGCGGAAAAACACAACGAGACTCCCTACTGGTGTCATGAAGAAGACAAGAGGCATGATAAGGACGGATGAGTCCAAAACATCGGTTTCTTCGTAGCTTTGGCCGAAGACTTGTGAATTAGGGTTCCAAGCCTTATGCATAATTTCTTCGTAAAGATCATCTCTCGCGGCCAGCCACTGATTGCGCTTGGGGCAAGGGAGAGACCTCTTGTCCGCTAATCTGAGACCTATAGAATGTAACCATTGTAGATGATTGTAGATATGTGAAGGTGGGTAATTATACCTCTATCGATAGCCACCCTGTAAAGGATATTAGTTTGGTATAAAGTAATCATATGTACAGCAACTTACCATAGCATGATCTATAATGGCGTGATAAAAAATTTTAGTCTCGACCATAGAGCTCTGGTCATTAGGCCATACCTTCGAGTACTGGTCACACTCTGAATCAGTTTCGGGCCGTGTCAGAAAAGGGAGGGAGCTCACCGTAAAATGGCGTTTCTTTCCTCGAACTTCCCTATAATGCAAACATGAAATGACGCAATCCTAGTAACAAACCACACTAACCAAATGGAACTAAAACTCGTATTTAGCACAAATATTTTCAAAAATGTCGGAAGATATGTACTAACAGATCTGGCTGTTGGTAATTCGCGACTACAACTAAAAGCACCTATGTGAACAAATTGACTCGGAAGGACCCTAAAATCCTGGAAGCTCACAATCTACACTGTGAATATAAGGTAGTTAAGCTCAGGATTCAAATAAATCCAGTACGTGACTTACAGCTCTCTGACGAGAACCCTATGAAGTCAGGGCATTAGCTTCGAAGATCTGCGAATATGTGGATCGATTTACCATGTATCATAAGACTAACGAGCTTCGATTCAGCACGGTGTAATATCGGAATTCTGATGTGTGACTTACCAGAGGTCGCCCGAACTAAACCAAGTCAAAAATGGCGAGTTCATGAGTATAACATAAGCGCATATCACACTGAATAGAAGTACCAACCTTCTGACCTAAATAGATACAATCCATCCTAAAATCAAAACAATGAGATGTTGTAGACCTTTAATGCAAAGCCTAAATCACGGTAGCTGGTCAGCAATATGTAAATACTGGTAACACCAAAGAGATTCACTTATCGCACAGTTCTCCATAAATGTCCTTCAGATCGCCAAGTCGCTGTGAGTTCCAGCCGAGATATAGTCGTTGAGATACTCCTTACCAATTGCACATGATCGGCTGCTCCATTCCCTATCCTACAAGCCCATAACCATGAGAAAATGAATTGCGCATGTCTATAAAGAAAAACTGGATACCTGACAGGTTTAGATCCTTTGTGACCATCCAGATGATTAAGCTCTATTTCTTCCAGGTCCTTGCCACCTATCCTTCAGAAATTTAGTAACAGGTGTTACGGTCCTGTCTGCACCCACCGTGAATAGTGTACCTAAGAGGGATATTGAATATAATAATAATAAAAGGTGTATTGCACGAACATGATTTGCAAAGAACCATCAGGGTTCTTGTCCTTCAGTCGTTCGAAAATGAAATCCATGTAGGCTTTGGACCCCTTTAACACTGTTTCTCAGATTGTACACAACTAAGTTCAACCCACCATTCGCTTCCTGTGTGAATCCCAAACGTATCAAGGCATATAGTGTGAATGAAGAGTCACGGATCCATGAGGCACTGTAAGGCTGTTTATCAGAACTGTACGAAATATCATTCTAACGACAGACCGATAATCCCTACAATAGGAAAAAGAACTGGATGAGCTGCAATAGATATTGAAGAAGACAAAAAGGAGATGTTACCAGTTACGCGTTCCACCAATGTATTCTGGTAAACTGAACGTAGGGCTTGCTACAACCGCACCTGAAGAGAGCGAATTTCTGTCAGAAAGAAGGACCGACGTATCAATGGACCACGGCAAGCAGACCTGTAGGCTCGAAGATAAGTAGCTTCAGAGCTAAAGCGCTGCGATGGACTGCTTCTTTCCAAGACCCTTGATAGGTAGATCGTCTGATCCATGAGTTCCAGTAGTTGTTGGTTTCCTAGGAAATAATGAACGGATTTATGGAGTGACCAACCATACAGACATACGATGAAGACGTGGTCCAGAAGTTTCTGTAAAATGGAAAATGTTCATCAGACTACAGTAATAAGGAACATCGATGGCGCAGACAAACCGGTGTTAAAATCGGATCATCCTGCGGCCTCAGTTTCGAGGCGCCCGCCATCAGCTCTTTCAGATCTGTTAGGTTGACATTGGGTGCATTTCAGGTTCGACTATAATGCTCACTTTGCAGAGATATCCCCAGATCATCAGCACGCTGTTGACTTGGCTTTAGCGCGGCAGGCGCAGTGTAGTCGGGAGGGATCCTCAAAACGAATGTGACCCTTTGACCTTCCTCGAGGTTGAGATCACAAAAAGCCGAGAGTCCCAGATGGCCTTTCGAGGTGAGATCAAGGATTTTCAGATCGACGTCTGGTAGGCTAGTGCCGTCGAGCATATTTTGCACGACGTAACGGAGGTCAAGGCTGAGGTCCTTAGATTTGAAGGTCACCTTGTTCTGGGCACCTCCTGGGATACTGTCGTCGGGAACGATTTCAGTAGTGTGCTCATCGCGCGCGTAGTTGAAAGCGGGCGCGCATTCAACGCGCAAAGGTAAGGTGCCACGGATGACCTGAGTATATGAATCAATTCAGTGCCTTATAGGCAATGTAATTTTGGTTTTTACCTCAACACGGCGTATGAGCCAGTACAAAAGGGGTCTGGTTGTTTCGTCATTTGCTTGACGGGGGAGGAAGTCTGCAAGACTGACATGAGATATGTTGATATGCACGATACAAAACTAAGTCAGACCTGTAACGCTGACGACACCATGATTGTTCATAAACCTGGAGCACCAGAACCATCAACTATAAGATCCGCTGATGTTGGTCTAAGGACCTACTTCGTTTGTAATACCTGATGAAGAAAATGAGCATCAGTAGATAATCAAATGCAGTGAACATAACGCACATTTGAACTCGGCAAATAGTTTTGTTTCGTGGTGAATTCGACAGTAGGGGTGATGGAAAAGTGGCCTCCCTAATGCACAAGACAAGTCAATGAGGAAGCGAACAACGACCAGCCACTATCGCAGACCTTGTCCTTGTCTAGAATTCGAGCGAATACAGATGGAGAGTCGAAATTCGGGATACAGTAACTTTCAACTGCAGAACTACATGTTAGTGACGCTCGGATGAGATGTCTACCTACTGTAGACCATCATGATATCACTGCAGCCTCGAGCAGAAGTCGACTACAACACGTTTGCACTCTACAGAGCAATACTCACTAGACCCATCTACGCTGACCTACAAATAGAACAGTATGTCAGAAAATTCGTTACAAATGACAGAGATCATGGACTCACTAGTGCTGCGGTCCTCAGATTACCGATTCTATACACATCAGTCAATTGCTGCAACTCTTCAAATGCATGACCGTCACCAACAATCCATGATCTGCAATGGACATATAGTCTCTTTCTCCGGATGGTTTGTGCACGTTCATGATGGGCCAGCAATAGGATGACTTGGTCGTAGCGCACGAGATGAACTCACTGAGACTTTGCTTATATACGGGTCACGTTATACGGCCCCCTGCGCCCTCGAGCGCTCGTTTTCCGGAAAACATTCATCCATCTCTTAACCTCATCATTACCCACAGCTACCAACGCACGACCGCTGGTTTCTGCTGACGACGGTGCCGGCGTGGTAAGGTGGCCATGGTAAAGCGGACTTGACCGCTACTACTGGGAATGATATTCCCCTTGCTATATTTACTCGGTACGTCGCCCTGTGACCATTCCCTAGTATTTCGAAAGTTACGCCTGTCGATGTTAATGGGTTTTTCAGGTGGGCAACCGCGATGCCTCTCAACAGGAGTAAATGACAATCGCGAGATGCCGTGATGTTGCAGCCGACGAACGACAACCCTGGATGACTTTCTCCTCGGCTGACAGTCATATTTCATGTACACAAGACTATACGAATATCAGAAGTAGACCACCCCCTAATACCATCACTTAATTCTATCATTGGCCTGGGAGACTCCTCGCACCCTCGGTGGCCAGTGACTACAAAGTTGCGCGTGCATAAAAGCTCATCAATTGACCGGGCCCGGCAACCACTTGGATGCATCCTTCCTTCACAGACGTTGTGAGTCCATGTGAATATTTATTTCTAGGATGAGTTTAGATTGGGTGCCCATCGTTACAAAGGCCAGGGTCCTGTCAGCTTACCCCGGACGGTTTCATACTTTGATCAGTACTGTGAATTCTGTCAGTTGTGATAGGTGGAGAGGGGCCTTGCTGTCTTGACACCTGAAGATGGCCGAAAGGGAGTACGGGTTCGATTCGAACAATCCTTGGCCGAAATGGCAGTGAGTTCTGTATGTGATGGGTATGATCTGCCCCGTGACCAATGCTAAGACCACTAAGACCATACAGAAGCCACTTGACTCCTTAGCTTGCGACATTCTCGCGGTGATCAATGGAGTTATTTACATGACCTGCGCAGTGTTGAATGAAGACTGTCTTTTGTTGCTGCAAATTGCTGCACCATATTAACACAGGAGTTGCTTGCTGTTAGATAAGATAAGATGCCGTCAGTTGTAAGCGTGGGAAAATGAACATGAAGCGACAGGCTGCTTTCTGATCGGACCGCGTCGGTTGAGTTATATACTGGAGGTCATCTCTGCAGTAAATTGTCAATCATTAGCCTCACTTTATTCTCTCAAAGGGCGAGTATCTCAAAACCGGCTTCTGCTTCACCTTTTGTTCCCAACGCCCACCACATCTCTGTCGCCCATGCAGGACCAAGGTATGTCTGCTGATCTCTCCTTCTCAGACCTAATCCCCATCATCTTCACTCCAGGCGTCACCACCGCCGACCAGCAAGGCAATGTGGACATCCCTCAGCCCCAAGCTCCTGCCCACTTCAGATCTGGCCTTGAGGAATACGAACGTTCTGGGGAAGACAAACCACCTTTCGTGCTAACTTACACCGAGGTTAAATTGCTTGGCATCGCCGGCGTAAGTCTCTCTCTGCACACTCCCACTTCATATCGGTCTAATTCACTCTCAGGTCGGCTTCTTCCTCGATGGTGAGTTTCATCAAATCTGACCCTGTTGATGGGCCACTAATTCCGTCATCGGATTAGCCTATGACCTGTTCATCATAAACGTGCGTCAACTAAACTCAGCGCTCCCTCCCACTGGTGCTGAATATAGCGCTGTCAGCCTGTCGCCACCATGCTTCAATACAGACTCTACGGCGGGCAGAGTCTACCGGCCAACTTGCAAGGTTTACTCAAAGCAGCAGCAAACATCGGAAGTGTCATCGGTCAATTCGGTTTCGGTATCCATCATTCATTTCAATCACTTCATGTGTGTATTTATTGCTGATACCTTATTTCATCCCATCTTCCAGGTTATTGCGCTGATGCGTTTGGCCGTAAAGCAATTTGTGAGTGCAAACGTGCAAATGACTTGTTTCGGCTAGTGACTAAACGACGAACGTGCGTCGATGCTTGCGGGTAAATAACAAACAGACGGAAAAGAGTTGATGCTCATTATCATCGCCACTATCCTTTGCATCACGACTCCCACCGGTTAGTGGAGTATCCTCCTCTCGTCTACGTTGTGTTCCTCATCACTGGCATAGGCTCTATCTCACCCAATGGTTCCCTCATCTATCTTTCAATATTCCGCATCATCCTTGGGATCGGCGTGGGAGGAGACTACCCAATGTCCGCTTCTATCACCAGTGATCGTGCCGTTCTCCGCAAGCGCGGGACGATGCTGGCTTACATCTTTGCCAACCAAGGTTGGGGAAGTTTTGTAGGAAGTTTAGTCACAGTCATTGTCTTGGCATGCTACAAACATGTCATGAATGTAGAGGGCGAGACATCAAAAGTGGACGGAGGTATGTGATGACACATTGTCTCCATGGAGCTGTTGCTGAAAGAAGTTGTTTCAGTATGGAGGATTGTCATCGGAATATCCTTGATCCCCGCTTTTGCCACTCTCTATCAACGTCTTACCCTTCCGGAGTCTAAGCGCTTCCTCAAGTCTCAGAAGGCTGCTGAAGAGGAGGAAATGGTGGACTCCAAAAATGTCGCAGTGAAAGAGAAAAGCTTATCCAGCTCCACTTCCAACGAGGGAAGCGATGTCCCTGTAATTCCCGAAGAGAAGAAGGCCCATTTCAAAGGTAGTCCCTTTAACTCCAGACGTAAGAATCCAATTGAAATATCTTCCATCGGCAACTCCAGAATTCTTCCGCTACTTCTCTGAGTGGAGACACGCAAAGATCCTGATTGCCACTTGTGGATGCTGGTTCTTCCTGGACATAGCGTATGCGCATACTTTCCATAACACCGTCCCCACGCTTCTCACTGCATCATTCCTAGTTTCTACGGTATCAATCTCAACCAGAACGTTGTGCTCCAAGAAATAGGATTCGACGGATCGAGTGGTACACCCTGGGAGAAGCTGTTCAAAATCGCCACAGGAAACATCATCATCACCGCGTTGGGTTTTGTGCCTGGTTCGCCCTGTTCTTTTGACATTGACGTATCAGGATATCCTGCTCACATTGGTCTATGTAGGTTACTATGCTACCGTCCTGACCATTGAAAAGCTCGGCCGCAAGGTTATCCAATTCCAAGGTTTCTTGATGGCTGCACTTTTCTGTGCGTTTTATCCGTTTTTCCCAAACAGACTTGCGTTTGACCAAGTTTGCCACATGTAGTGGGAATTTTGGCGGGCAAGTTCTATGAATTGAGCAACGCGGCTTTCATTGTCTGCTTTGCTTTGCTTCAGGTAATGCTTCCCTTCTCTTATTGCTGTTTGGGCCAAAGCTCAACCGTATCCTTCACAGTTCTTCTTTAACTTCGGAGCAAATACGTAAGTGCCTCGATCAACGTATGAATGAAAATTTCCCCTAACCACAATCATCGACGATCTTCCAATTAATTAACAGCACGACTTATGTACGTTCCCTCTCTATCCCGGTTTTCATGCGACAACGTTCTGATCGACTACATTAACCTGCAGTGTTACCCAGCCGAAGTCTTCCCTACTCGGTACAGAGCTTCCGCACACGGACTTTCCGCAGCTTGTGGCAAAGTAGGAGCGATCATCTCCGCACTTGTCTTCAACACTCTCACCGCGTCCATCGGTACTCCCAACGTACTCTGGAGTAAGTCCCCTCAATTCAGATCACTCTCCTGCCTTTGAGTTGACCTGCCACAACTAGTATTTGTCGGTTGTTGCTTCGCTGGAGCTGGTACGTTTGCTTGGCAAAGTATTTGTTATTCATTACTTACTTTCACGTTAATCTAGCTTTGACTTTGCTCCTTCCCGAAGTAGCTGGTCGTGACCCCGACGTAGTCTTAGCAGAGGAACTGAAAGAGCGGCCATAGGGTACCCGTATCCCATGTTCATAACATCCGCTTAGATGCTTTATTTCATGCGGACGATGCAACAACCAACTACTAGCATGTTACACGACGTTTACCTGATACGTTGTTTTACCAAAATAACCACATCATCCATGTCTCTCAAGGCACTTGAAATCACCTTCACATGATGTCGGTTTCTAATACTACAGATCTTGGCACAATAGATTGTAGGTTAACTGGACGTTACGGCCCAACCAACCTTCAAGGGCAAAAACCTCGATCCTGCAGCTGGATCCATGAGGAATATGAATATTGGCCTGCTACAAGCTCACACTCGGGAGCCTTCCAACTGGTTTCCAGTTGACATACTCCCACCACAGCACAGAAACAGATGGGAATAGAATATATCACTACATAAATTACATCGATCCGCTAGATAAGCATCAAGTATAATATGTACCGACCAGACTGTCCGAAAGTCCAAACGGCTAGGATCTGATAGTGTGATGTGCATAATCAAAACTCGGAACAACTACAACCTCAAAAGAGCGACGTGATAAGAAGAAAAAGAAAAGAGAAATAGGAAAAGTAGCACAGTGGATAAATATGCCACAGTGCAATGCGATAACATGCCATCACCACTCGCACTCATAAGCATGTCATGGTCCCCCACGGCCAGCGTCATTCTCTTCAGAAGACGCATGCGGAGGCCCTGGCTCTTCTCGAGGAGCCACGACAGGAGCCCTCGAAAACCGTGACCCTACACTCATGCCACTCCCCGTACTCCCGTCGCTCCCCACACGCGTATGTCTCAAATCAGGATCAATCCTACTCCCCCTAGCAGCCGTCCCAACACCCGCCATGCTCCCTCTCCGTCCCCCAAATTCAGCCATGTCAATACCATCCATAAAATCGTCTGCGCGAGAGTAGTCTTTCCTGTGTGCCAAAAGAGGTACCGATATGTTTGGCGGAGCGCCAGCTAACTCGCTCGCAGTGCGTTGGTGAGCCGGAGGGAAGAAATCTGGTGAAGTTGGCGTGTCAGGCCTTAAGTCGGGCTGGCGAGGCATATGCTCCTCCCATGGCTCATCCGCACAAACTTCGGGCAGACCAGAATTTACTCGATGAGACATTTTAATCCCAAACTCATTATCTTCCTCATAACCTTCCGGGTCTTGTCCAACGCGAGTCCGTCCACTGCTCATTGTATACTCTGACATCAACTTCTTACGCATATATGTCTCGTATCGGAGGGTACGAAGCGTATTTTCTGACGGGCCATCAACGCTGGACTGCGAATTTCGCCTTGCAAGCTGGTAAGCCGCGAAGTCATCTTTGGGGCCTGGAGCGCCACCTTCAGTGCCCCGACGAGGCCACTTCCGCCGCGTGAGGAACCACCGAAGGAGGAAGAGTAAGATACACAGCCCCACGAACCCAACGAGGCCAAGTAGAACTTTGACACCGACTGACAGCTTCTTCCCACCATCCGGAATAGTAGTACTTGACGGCTGTCCCGGGTCCAGTGGCTGATTCAAAAGCCGCACTTTATTAAATTCCCCCATAGCTGACGTTGCATTCGTGAGGCCTAACAGACCAAGAGATGGGTTGATCCCGGTATGAATCGACGTATCGAATGTGCCATTCGAGTTTGGTTGCTCGTAGGCCATGACTGTGTAAACGTTGCGCATAAAAGGAACTCCGAGTATCATGTCGCCGATGTTGGTATAAGCAGACAATGCGTTGTCGTCAGCTTGGATAAGCCCAATGCAAGACTGAGCAGTGGATTGCCCTGACGGCTCTGCGGTAAGGTCGAGAGGGTGAACTGGAAGTTCTGGTTGACCAGCGAGTGTGATTGTTAAATTGAGCGGGGTGCGACATGGTACATAATCTGAAGTACTTCTTCAGAACTGCAAAATACAAGTGGAATGGGAACAACGCACAATTACCATCCGACGCAACACCAATGCCAAGTGCGCCATATATTCCATTAGCTATATTAGATGTCGTTACAATCGTAGGAACTCCAGAGTCAAGAAGAGCCGTTGGAAACCCATTGCCACTTATCGACAGGGGAAGTGTGACGGGTTTTGACTCGCTATTTACATAGACTGTGATTGCCTGTAAGGTCGTTTTCCAGTAAAGGATGCCGACATCATCAGCAATGAGGGTAGAATAGAGAATTTTGCTTGGGTCAGGGACAATTGAGGAGGGGTGGCGACCGATGCCGAGGAGGGAGGGGAGAGCGCTGGATCCGGGGCGGGCAAGGACGAGCGAGAAAAATGGAGAGGAGGGTGCGGTTGTATCTGGTGTCATGGAGAAGATGTTAGACGAGAGAGCAGCGCCGTCTGCGTCGTTATTCGTTTGGGGTGTGATAGTTTGTGCGATAAGAGAATTGAGAGGGAGGGCAAGACCAAGTATGCCATCAAAACTGTAAGATAGCGGTTCACTGGTTACTGACGTAGCAGCAGCTGAAAGGGAGAGGTGAGTACTGTGGTAGACGACTGATATTGTGGAAATATTACCAAGGGCTTGGTTAGAGATATTGTAGGTACCTAACTGCACTTGATCCCAAACTATAGGACCGCTGACGGCACCCAACAGGTAATTGATTTTGAATGATTGACCAGTCGGATTTGAGGATTTTGGATTGTAAAGACGGCCTTTAGTATCTGAACAGGGTGACGTTGAACATGAGGTAGATGCAATCCACTGCAATCGGTAATTAAGAATTGGGTGAGTTATTCCAGACTGTGTGAGGTATAACTTACAAGATCAGATGATCCAGTATCGACTTGCAATGATAAGTTTTGCTGAGATGAGCCCACGAGTACTGGGACAGTGTAAGCGCTGGAGATTAATGTTAGTTTTCCTGTTTCCATCCACATTAGAAAAAGAAACAAGAGAAACTCTTGAACATACGGTATTCGCATATAAACTACGAAGAGATAAGTAAAATGAAGAGACATACACAGAATCAAAACTGGTCGCGACCATGTCAAGGTTCAGGACGAGCCCGTCATTTCCACCATTTCCTTCGCTACGAACGCTGAATGAGGCGCGTTCCTTGCCTTTATCCATCGTGGAAGGCCTTGCATTGAACCTGTTGGCGAATCTCATCACTGTTCAGACAAATGTAGAAGCCCAAGGTGGTACGGGTAGGAGAGGGAGCGTTAGGCGAATATATGCGACAGAAATGGGTCAAATCGTCACGGAAAACCGATGGAAGCACAAATGCGATGACCCAGGTACGAAGTATAAAGCACGGAGGACAGATGGCCGTGTGAGATGCGGGATTTGGACGTTAAGAAAGACTGTGAAATGGACGTATCGTATATTAACAAGGAGATGTAGTCATATAGGCTGGCGCAGGTTGGCCTAGCAATGGATGTAAGGAACGAGTGGCGGTAGGTTGAATGTGCTGATATAACGAGTACGCGTCCTGGGGGACGAGAAGGAAAGACGGAAAACTAACGAAACATGTAACGCCAAGGACAACGTCTCCGGTGATGGTTAGCATTTTCGGGCTATCGTCGCCGGGTTCTCGTCACAATAGACGCCCAAAGTATCACTTTGTCGTACGACCTCGAAACCTGTTTTGTGATTTTTGCTACTAGACTTGTATGAGTTATAGCCGTGTCATACTATGTTTTATATCCAACAGAGACCTTCGATTCTGGGCCAAATGCTTTGCTGCTAAGATCTCGACGAAAAGCGGCATGATCCTTCCCCGCACTATTACCCCATTTGGATATCTGTTAAAGATCGAAGCGGTTCCTGGATCGTAACCCACCAGCGTATTTCGCCAAAGCTTGACAGGTGCATATCTCAAAACAAGTCTCAGCTTGAAAGTATGTACTGCAATACTATCACTTGGCATATTACAAGTATTTATCCAGACTGCAGCTGTTCTTGACAAGGTCCAAGCACAATTCATCGACGTTGCGGGTCCGTGTCAATTTGGATGCAACCTGGTAGTGCCTCGTAGAACAGGTAATCGCCGTCGTCGCGGAGCGCTCGTCTTACAGGCTCTTTTTTAATTCTCAGCATCATTGGTCCCGATAAAATATCAATACCTGTTCAACAGGCTTCACGTCTTTGCTCACACTATTCAATGGCTTTTAATCACGGGTCAACCACAGCCCGTGCTGGGCGTGCGAGCTATCGGGGCAACCATTTCCATACAACCACTGGCAGAGGCAGAAATCGTAGTGATATCGACGGTAACAACATCACACAAGGAACAGGCCGACCTGCTGAGCATCGACCAACGCATTGTCAGTATATTTATATGACCCCTATTAGTTGACATGATCTGATGGTTGTATGTTACAAAGTCATTGCGCTACCCATCGTCAGTCAGTTTTACCTTCCTCGCTACAGATTTTTTTTACACTGAGGTGATCTGAACGCGTCCTTAGGGCCATCATAGGCTACTCAGAGAGAAAATCTCCACTTTTACCAATGCAGTTACACTAAGCTCTCCCCCTATATCAGGTCTCGACAAATCCATCGTGGTCGCACCTCGCAGATTACACCTTACCCTTGGAGTAATGTGCTTGAACCCGGCCTTGTCTGGTGCTACCTCGACGTCCCAAAGCTTTAAAACACTACCAGCAGCTCTGAACCTCCTTTCGGCTTTGAAGCCTCGTATCATGGAAATGATAGGTGACAAGAGACTCTGCGTACCCTTGAATTTCATGGACATTATGAATCCTGATCGGGGGGATCACGACAAAGCACACGTGCTCTGGATGGGACCTTCATTAGATAGTGAGGACGCACAGCTCCTTAAGCGGGTTTGCGGTATGTACACCTCGATCATTTCGGTACCGTAGCCGTTCATTATCCTGTCATGCAGAGATGGTAACGAAAGCTTTCACCGACGCTGGTTTCGTGACAGATCGACGTCCCCTTAAGGTCTGTCTGTCCATACAATTTCCGATCGCCAAACACTTACAGTTGTCTCCGATCGCAGCTCCACTGTACCGTGATTAACACTATCTACCGAAAGCCAAAGAGCAGAGGACCACGGCAACCATTCTCCTACAAGTCGCTCCTTATGTCCACGAGCAGCCGGCCATACCTGTGCAATGCATCCCCAAGCCCCGATTTCCGTCGTCCAGTTCCAATTGAATTCGGGAAATGGAATGTGGACGAGGTACAGATATGTGAGATGGGTAGCTATGGACCACAAGGAGAATATGTAAGCTGTGGGGGGTGTTCCTTGGTTGCATGAGGGCTTTCTTAGGTGCATGTGGACAAACTCCATGGTATATGTGTATTCTCCACCGCTGTATGTGTTGTAAATGTAGTTGAACAGAAAACTTGTGCTTCTTCTGCCAGATAGCTATACAAGCAGTGTCACAGCATTAGCAGGATCGCACATTGTCAGCGGGGTGCTGTGTAGTTCGCACGCACAGGCCAGATTGGGTAGTGGCACAGCCGGCAGACGGAGGGGATTGAAATACCGCTTGAAAGACCGCCCTGTATCATCGTGCGACTTCTTGTCTCGCTCAACACCATCATCACCAACAGCGCCCGCTCCATCCATATCGTCCTACTTTCTACGTTCTCATAATGTCTGAAATCAGAAGGAAATTGGTTATTGTCGGTGATGGTGCTTGCGGAAAGGTCTGTTGTCTTTTTGGCCCTGCCCATTCCCTTCATTGTGTCGTTATTTACCCCGATATCGTCCGTACAGACCTGTCTCTTGATCGTCTTCTCCAAAGGAACGTTCCCTGAGGTAAAGTCGTCTCTCAATGCGCGAATTTTACTTCTCATGCCTCCTTTTTTCCCCCAATTCCATTAAAGGTCTATGTTCCTACTGTCTTCGAGAACTATGTGGCGGACGTTGAAGTTGATGGCAAACACGTCGAGCTGGCGCTATGGGATACCGCCGGTCAAGAAGATTACGATCGTCTCCGACCTCTCAGCTACCCCGACTCTCATGTCATTCTCATCTGTTTCGCTGTAGACTCACCGGATTCGCTTGATAACGTGCAAGAAAAGGTGCGCGCAGCATAATCTACTCCCTTTTTCTTCTCCAAAAAAAAAAATTAATCGTTTATTTTGCCATTTCTTTAGTGGATTTCCGAAGTGATGCACTTCTGTGCTGGGTTGCCCATCATCCTTGTGGGCTGCAAGAAGGATCTTAGACGCGACCCTAGAGTGATTGATGAACTCAGGAAAACGAGTCAGCGACCTGTAACTCCCGAGGAGGTGGGTGTTCGCTTTTCGTATACGTAGGTGTCGTGCTAATGATTACGTCACTAATCAGGGTATGGCCGTTGCCAACAAGATTGGTGCGAAACACTACCTTGAGTGCTCAGCTAGAACGGGTGAAGGTGTTCGCGAGGTATTCCAGTACGCTACTCGGGCTGCTCTCCTTAGCCGGCCCAAGAACAGCAAGAAGCACCATTGCGTGATTTTGTAAACTATTACCGTACCGCCCGTCGTCGTTGTCACTCCTCCCTACCTATCGTCTCTGCTCCAGAGTTCATACCCTTCACGACTAGTATTTTTGCAATCTTCATGATCTGTCATCTCTTGCGTGCACGCGCGGCTCATGGCCAGTATGACTTTGCGACCGCAGTTGGATGTCGTATCCCATTCTTTGTTCAATTTCAAATAAGCGCTGGACTGCGAACGTATTGTGAACTTGAACTCTCTCTGCTATTACGATTATAATCTCATTCTTTCTACTCACGCGGTGGCTCCATCATCTTGCTTTTAAATTCTTGTCAATGTTTTCTTTCAGAATTCTATTGCTCCTTTATTGGAATCACACTCGTATAGGCCAAACTATCGGAAACGTCTGGAAACTGTCCTGGCGTATACAAGGTATGTACGTCAACGCTTACAACGACTTGGTCGATTCTTTTCCATTATCCTGGACCGCAATGGTTTCGTTAGTGGAGTGATTTACTTCGAGCTGCCAGTGTATGATGTTGAGTCCTGGTACAAGCATCAACGTGTTCCAATCGGGTAAGGCTGTAGGATGGCAGATGGATCATCGCAGGCGCCCTTATCGCGTAACATCCGCGCACTTCGTTGAGTCCAGGCAGACCAGTCACAGAGTACCAATTATTAGGGAACTAGCGACGAACCAGAGTAGGTTTTTAATAGTCCTTTCAATAAAGGTAGCATGAAGGTCCTGATTGGGTTCGCCGTCGAGACGCTCAAGTCCACGACTGCGGTTTATCTGGATGTCACGGTAACACGGCACAGCGATGGACCGAAGACACTTTGTGGAGTGGAAAAGGGACTTGCTTCTCTTCGGAATATACGGAGCAGAGAAAAGGCTTGTGACCTACATGGTGCTCTGGCAGGACCGTGACGCTAGGTAATGTCCGTTTGACCCTCGCGCGGTCATTCGCAATGGCATCTCCCCTTCGACCGTCTGTGTGGGTCAAGGTTCCTTGAAAGTTATCAACCTTCGCCGTAGCTGGGAACGAACGCTCGGCGTTGCTGAACACCGAAGTAATATGAGTAAGTTATCGCGGTGATATGCGGCTTTCTCTCTGAATGCTTATCTCGTGTCAATTTGCCAATCGGCGGCCACTCTTGCTTGCAAGATACACGGATAAGAAGATCGACACAAAGCCTGGTGATCTGCGGTAACTTGAAACTTACCAGGGCTCCATCAACAGTTTCAGCCATTCGGACGAATGATCAAAGGACATGGGGAGGAAAGATGAAAAGATGCATCACTGATGAACATTGACAGTAGGGGCAAGCCTTGATTTACTCATCATTGATGAATGTGAAGTCTGTGCTCTGTTTATGTCCGTTGGCTAGACTGCGAGCGCGCGCCAGTGGGGTATAGCTCTATAAGGTGTATCAGCAATTCGGAAATCTTTCACGAATTCATCACATCTTACCTCGAAGAGTTGATCACCCTAGGTACAATTTTCACGCTTAATGTTCAACCTAGAATGATGCGGGAGTCCAGTGTCTGCTGTATAAAAAAAACCATCACCGGTATCGGCGAATCAGTCGTTCTGATTTTGACTCGGGGTTGATTCGCTGATTCTGGGCATGATAATATTTACCCACCGGCCGGTGTATCAGAGACGAGACAGGACTGCCATATTCCCTTCATGTCGACCGTGTCGACCGATGGATGGTTCCTGTCAGTGATACAAATCCTGCTAAACCATGTCGTCGTCACTGACAAAGCCTCCAATAACCAGGTGACAGTAGAGATGGTAGCCTATGAGCCATTATAGCGCATGCATAGGAGATTACCAGGAGGGTTGATGTGACTGTCGCGATCTGGCACGATTAGAGGTCCTATCATGTCTGGTCATCCTGTAAGTAATACTGCAATGTATGGGAGACAAACATCAGTGGAACTTACCAACCATCTGCATAAACCCGCCCACATGATATCGGGAGGCTTGACGCGATGCGCAGGGAAGTGCTGTTACTAGGACACAGGGAAAACTGTGGGAGCACATGATAGCTCAGAGGCAGGATTTTAGACAAGGTACTAGTACCTATTTTCGAAGAATCCGATATACAGGGCGCGAACCGCTAAAATCCCCCCCGTGAGAGGTTCTTTCAAGAAGGAAAATGGATACGAATGTTGGAGACGTATAGCCTCTCAAGTTTGACCGGTCCTCAGCGCCGTGTCAGCGGCTCCTAATCTTAAGAACTGTCCAACCAGGCAGCCTTAATAATGTCTCAACATCAGACGAGCAGGGTCATGTCGAAGATCCGTCTCTGATATCAGATATGTCGCCCGATGTGGGAATTAGTTAAATACGTGCTGTTGGCCTTGAGGTTGCAGCAATGACGACAAGACTTCGAAGCCACCACCAGCATCGCAGATTACGTCCCGGGAGGATCAATCCAGAGAAGCCGTCGAAGTGATGCACCTGGTACCACACAACATCCATGACGTTTGCATACTTCCTTCAGCCGTAATATCAGGCGGATTACAGGACACAAGTACAGGTTTGAAAAGACTAACCATTCTGAGATACGACCATACATGTTTCATCGGGGGAGTCAGCGATCCACCTTGCCCATCTTATCAATTCACAGCGTAGCCCACTCTCCAGACTCTGTAAATACTGATCATGAAACGCGATGAGGACGATGCATCGAGTCGGAAGTACCCATTGCTGGATCATTTATGATCATAGTTGATCGGGCCATCTTTAGCGTTGTCAATGAGGCCATTGTATCATGATTTGTTGATGCATGCAGCGTTCTCCGCAGTTTCTCCTGGCCATGGTAGCGCGCTGTGTGCCCCGAAGATCGATGTCCTTGATCGTTCGTCTCCACATGAGATATTGAACGTAAAAGAACATGTCATGGGGGTGTTGCCTGACCATGGGGCCACTGGCATGAGGCCCTCGAAGCCCCGCATTCAATGCGGGGAAGGTTGTTGATGGCCATCGAGGACATGCAGATCACATATGGCCATAACTCGAGTGTTCCTCGACGTCTATGAAAAAGGTAAGTCAGGGAAGATGCTGGTAATGCAGCCTGACGCTGGCATGATTCTTTACCTTCAAACACGCTTTTCCGCGTCCGGATCCGTTATCCTGTTTATCTTCACACGAAGACGGAGCGCTTGAATATGACAGACCTGAAACACGATAAGATGCCAGTTGTGCACAAGTCAGTGTGAGAGTCTTTGACATACGCCTCCACCCCGTCACGTCCGTTGTCAACAACCTGATATCAGTGCAAGGATCAGTCATGAATCGTGCACATCGGAAGTGGCGACGACCGAATTTTATCCTGTTGGCCGTTCAAAAGGAGGTCCTCCAATATTACTGGACTCGGGAATATGATTTTGTTGGCCTAACTTACTATACTACCAACCGTGATTCGGCATGATCCAGATACAACACCAAGTTCATGATCAGCGCGCACAGTTGACCCACAATTACTTGTAGTAGTGTCTTCAGTCGAAATGCATTGCATTAAAACCGATACCATCTCTGTAGGTACGGTAACTAAGTAGTCAAACTGCAGTATTTTTCTTTCCTTCCGATTATCCCATCCCTTAAGGTAATTTTAATGTATCATCGACTTGAGGACATTAAGGTCCCACCCTAGTAGGGCACGATGCGAAACGAGCGCTGACTCTGTTTTTAGACGGTGGGCAGGAACAGAGGCATATTATCTTCGATCTCGCGTCTAAAATATGAAAGCCGCCATTAGTTACTCGGTCTACATCCAGAATGTAAAATACTCACACTGTCTCTTCGGGTCGTCTGTTGTCTAGGTCGGACTGTGATATGCCCGTCTTCACCGCCCTGGAACGACGGACTGGGCGTTCGTCGAATGTCATGCATCTATATATGACCCATTGAGTGATCTGGCTACGCAGTCTCGGACTCGGAATCATTGCTGACATTCTGTGTTAAGTGTGCATGGGCTGGGAGAGGTTGAGTCTGCTTCTTCTGCAGAGCTGAATCAAGCTACGATGAAGCAGAAGTTAAGTTTAGCGATGAGTTTCAAATGTTGAATGCTTTCAGATTTACCTTCGCCTTACTGTGGGCTCCCGTGTTCCCGTAGTGAAGCATATCTCTTGGGATCGAAGACATTGTCGGCAACGCAGCCAGCGAATGCGTCATGCTAGGCAAAGCGACAAGAGACGGAGGGGGAGGGGACGATGGTGATGAGCAGGAAGATACAGACTTTGTCGAGTTGGTCATTGAGGAAGATACTGAAGAGCTTGGGTACCTCATGTAGTAAGAGAATTAAGCGAAGAGAAAGTTTGGACCCGTCCATGTTTAAATCAGAGTCCAAGAACGGTGTTGTCAGCATTTCATCAACAGGGCTCAGCCTTGCTGTAGTTCTGCTGGAACGGATATTACCGATGAGATCATGCTGGATGACGAGATATATGGCACGGCAATCTTGGATCCTTGAAGAATCTCCGGATGTGATGCCCTGTGTACTTGAATTAGGAGAACGCACAGAGGCAGTGCTGCAGATGTCGAGATACTAGAGCATTCCCAGTTTGGCAAATGTCCACGTTGTTGCAACGAATCGCCCGTGTATCTTTAGAGCCGTAATGCACGAGGGGAAAGCGTTCGACATTGCGTGTAATCATCAGTCCGCCAATTTAGGTCTCATATTACACATAACCATTCGATGCGATCGATACCGTTGATACGTCTAGATCTATACCTCAGCCACCGGAAAATATGTCAGCTTAGATACAGCGTGTTCAACGTCATGAATGCGCGTGAAGGCACCAACACACCTATGAATTACGCTATTCCACGTACAGTAGTATTACACCTCTTTCCTCTCTGTTTATCTCATGCAGTCTTCCAGAGCATGCCAAAATGTGGTTGTTGTTGTTGTGCTGTTTCGAAGTAGAACCTCGCGTCATCTCCGTCGTCGAGTCACGAGGCGGCTGGCGGAAGTCCAGAGAGCTATACATTCCAGTGGCCAGTGAAGGCATTCCTCACTGTAAGGATACGATGAAGAACACGACTGGGGGCTCCACCGGATGAGACTTTTTCTCAACAGTCGCAAATTTTGCACCGCCATAACGAAACTGCAAAATCTGGTAACAAGAAAATAAATATTAATTTATAAGAAAGGTAAGGGGGCAAAAAACAACAACAAGCGACCAACCACGGTAATGAAAGAGTGCCAAGGTGACGCAGACGAGAACAGATCGTCGAAACGAGTGGAGCGCTGCTGTAGTCAACCCCTCGGCCATATCATGATGCTACTTGCAGTGAGGAGGCAGTGAGGAGGCGGGAATAACTGATGACAGTCTCGGAGGGGAAATGTTGACTCTAGTTAAGGGGCAAGCTAGAAGGCAACAGCTGGATGATGTAAACGATACGGCCGTCAAAAAAGGTCGATATTGTACGATAGAAGTATTGTGGCTTGCTGGGAAACATGTATTTGTCTAGCTTTTAGGGACTTGGTGGGCTGACCGAGTCTTCTGAAATAGATTGTATATGTAAATCCCATTGTGATAGGTGAGTGTCCTTCCATGATGGAGCTTAGAGTATAATTAAACCAGACTGTGGATGTTAAAGCGAAATAACGGCTCACTGGCTGTTACAGTAAACGTATCTGAACGTATAAATTGGCCAGATTGGTCTGTGTAAACACAAAGAACCGCAACCAAATTCCCCCGCTATACACCGTTCCCAATAAAGAAGATGGCGCAATTCTGGGGCTAACGTATAGTTGCAAGATAACAGAGCGACTGGTCCGGAAACGAACATTGTTCCAATGCTCGACTGCATCAATTTGTGAGGGCTTCTAGCGATAACACGAAGGTGGCTCCAATAGTTCATCGTACAACCCGGGAAGCAGAGCTAGATAAATACTGGAAATGTATACCGCACAACCTTGCCGTATTCAGGCGCTGACGCTGTTTGAAAGAGTGACATTCGCATCAAGTGAGCATTTCGAGCTTAAATACCATAGCGAATATGGCAGTCCGCGTGCTACACATTTGTGATAACATGGTATGAGGGGGATGCAAACGGTCCGCTATCCTCAAGTTATGGATGATTGCTGCATATATAGACGATGAGCTGGTGTATTGATAGCTTTCTTGTATTTCTGCAGTATATCAGAGACATATTGTGGGACCGGACAGGGAGTTTCGACTGCGAGGTTTTGTTTCCAGTTCCAGAGAGGCGCGACCTAAGGTTAGGGTTGTGGCCCACTGAGCGCGGTTAGCTTAGCGTAAAGAGATCCTTTTTGGCTTTTGGCGGCCATTCGTTTTCACGTTTGTTCCCTAGCTATTCCTCAATAACACTTTGTTTACTTCATTATTGTCCAAGTGAACAACGATGGCTGCATCCAGGACGGATCTCTTGGCCTGGCTTAACGAGCTTTTGCAGCTTAATTACACCAAAATCGAGCAATGCGGTTCTGGCGCTGCATACTGTCAAATATTGGACTCGGTTTATGGTTCGTATATCTCACTCATATCTACATTGTAATCGCATCTGATCAGCGCATATCTCTCGTTGTCTTTACAATCAAGGTGACTTGCCCATGGCGCGAGTGAAGATGAACGCAAAACACGAGTACGAATTCATCGCTAACTTCAAGGTCTTGCAGAATGCTTTCAAAGCGAAGAAGATCGACAAGGCGTGTCTACATCCGTTTCAAATCAGAGTATCAATCACTAATCGTTTCGTCACAGCCTATACCCATCGAGAAGCTCGTCAAATGCAAGATGCAGTGCGTATCGACAATCTCATTATCGATCATAGTGTGTTCTTAGGGATCTCGTTTATCTCAGAGACAACCTAGAGTTTTTGCAATGGATGAAACGTTTCTGGGATTCCAACTTTGGCGGACAAGGCTACGATGCCGTTGGTCGAAGGCGGGGCGCCCCCACTGATACCCCTGCAACGATGGCCCCGGTTGTTTCCTCGCGAACCGCCGCTGGTCTAGGCGTTGGTAGTGGTAGAGCAGGTGGAAAGACACCTATTGGTGGCCACAGAGCAGGATCCGCTCAGCCCAACGAGGCTATCCAGAATCTGCAAGCACAGCTACGCGAAATGTCAACTCATATGGAGGGACTCGAGAAGGAACGTGATTTCTATTTCGCCAAGGTATGCTTTCATGTATCTCAAAATTAATTGTGCACTCTAAATAATCATGACACAGCTACGGGACATCGAGATCCTTGTCCAGCAGCAGATAGAGGTCTTGGAATCGGATGGAAAAGATGACGAGACGTTGCGTGAAATTCAGAAAATTCTATATTCAACAGAGGTGAATGAAATATCTTAGCAATTTTTTGCTATTGTATTGACACCTTTGTTGCAGGATGGCTTTGAAGTGCCAGAGGCTGGTGTTCCCGTCGACGAAGAAGAAACTTTTTAGTTTTGTAGTATTATTCCACATCGCCAAATATTATTTTAGCATATATGCTACCTCTCGATTTGTTTTTCCCCCTAGGTTCATGGCATACCTCTACACTTCAAACTCGTTCACCGTCTTTTGTTTTTGAGAAGACTTGTTCTAACTCGCCCTCTAGTCGCTCATTTAATTTTTCCCCATCTCGAATGCATCCTTTAGATTCCCCATTAATCCTGTCGTGAAATGATATCTATTCGTTGTGTTCCTACTGCAAGAATTTATGTGAATGCTAGGAAGGGAATCGATGTGTGATGTCGTTATCTGTCATAATAATAGAATACGATGCAATGCCATGAAAAAGATAAAATAAAAATACAAATAAATGTGCCATCGCACTGCAGTGGTGAAAAGTCCAGTCTGCTCATATACGAGCCAATATTCTTGATTCTTGCGCCATTTTGGAACCAAGGATGAGCAACGATCCAATGATCATGGATGTCCCAGAAAGAGCAATAGCACCAACGTAAGACTCGTGTTCGCGAGTCAGCAAAGCTCCAGCTATGGGCCCTCCGAAGAGTGATCTGAAATGAACCGCCGAAGACAGAAGTTTCCCAATCAGCTTACTGTAAAGGGCGACATAGAGGCCGGCAATAGCGTACTCACGGCAACGATATCAAGGAATACAGAACACCGATTCGAGTTCCGATTTCTCGTATATCTGAGATCTGCGCGACACACGGGGTGACAAGGGATATGAAAGCGCCAGATAGGAACCCGTAGACGACCGCGAATATCATGATGGAAACAAGACTTTGGGAGAACATCCAAAAAACGAGGCAGGTCAAGCCTGCCAGGAATGCGGAGGGTGTAAGTATATTGAATCGACCTATGACATCGGAGAGGCAGGCTGGAGCTATACGTCCGAAGACACCTCCCGCATTCATAATCGATAGTACATATATTGCTGTGTGTCGAGGAACGGAAAGACCTTGAGTGTAGTCTACAATATAGAAGAAAGGAGTGAAAAACCCTGCAGAAAAGCATAAGTGAAAAGCAAAGACTCGGCAGGGCAGGTACTAGTAAACGCACCCAAGCAAACACAGAAGCTGCCAGCAACAAGGAGCATGAAGGCCTTGTCTTTAAAAATTCTGGTGTCCGCCCATGGACTAGATATTTTCCCGGTGGGTAAGCGGCTTTTGACAGTAAGGATAGCCACCAGGCAACAGATCGCAGATATCAGACCTGAAACTCTGACCGTCCAACCAAAGCCAATTGCGCGGAACAGACACTGAAGCATAATAGGATATACCACCCCACCTGCGAGGCACATTTATAAGTTAGGAAATTAACTAAAGGCATTCGAGTTACCCAAACTGGAACCAGCTGCAGCCACACCCAGAGCGGTAGCTCGGTATCTTTGGAAATGAGTTGATACGGCGGCAAGGGAGGGGTAAAACCTACAGCAAAATGAATGTGGTCATCAATGACTAAGACGCGCGCACATACAACATGCCAACACCAGCTCCAAATAAGATTCCCTGGCACAGCACATATTGATAATATTTCGTGGACAGACTCGTCATCATCAGGCTGAATACGTAAATGAATGCACCCGTAATCATTATAGGCGTCGGTCCATATGCGTCGAAAACACGTCCAATAGGCCCTCCCTGCAGAGTTTCATCAATTAAGAACACAAGAAGAAGGTCATTTACTCGCAATTTCACAACAAGAACGTGGCGACATACCATGAAGAAGAATACCCATAACTGGAGGGAGCCAATCCAAGAGATGGTGAAAGCCGAGAATTGACTTAATTGGTGATCCGAATACCAGGACTGGAACGTGCCAAAGGCGTTCATCTGGCCAAATGTGCAAAACAGAGCCAGGAATGCGCCAAAGACAGTAAGCCACGCTCTGAGACCGCCGTCCGCTGGACCAAAACCTCCTGGATTCGCGGACAGCAAGGGTGCATCGGCTGGCTGAAGTGCACTCCTTCGGTTGAGGTTGTCGTAGGTCTCTCCTTCAAGACTAGGTCCTCGTACGACGGGCAAAGCTGCGCACTTCTCGATGTCGGCCATGCAACGTGAATATATAGTGATGTTGCAGGCTGAAATTTGGAGTATGAGCCGAGGTTCAGTCTGGCTGAGGAAATGAGACACAGAGACTGGCAGACCATGAGGAGGGGAAAATGAACAATGCCAACTATATAAGTTAGCCCGAGCTGAACAGGCGCTAGTGCGCCAACGCCAGAAGACAGAGTACCGCATTTTGACCGCATTTTGACCCGGCTCCGCGCATACCGGATAGAGAATAACGGCGTCCGCCAATATCGTAAGTACAGCTTCCTGCTCTTCGGCCATCCTATCCTATCCCATCCGCCGCTCTTCGAAGGTGCCTCGAAGTGATGGTTTCCTTAGTGGGATCAGGGTTTCCAACAAAACGACTGGTGACGAAATCCGCACATGTAATAGAGCTTGAGCATTCGGGTGAAGAGAATCCACGATGTAGCTTTGTGAGTCGCTAAGAGGACAAAGCTCAGGAAAGGGGTCGAGACATGTCGGAGATCTGATGAGCAAGTCATTTCCTTCGAGGCCGGGATGCACGGTGCACACCTTATTGTTGGTTGACATTCGACTCTCCATTCTCCATCATGTCAATGGTCTGTAGACAAAAATTCGATTGTTGCGTTACACTGATCATTACAATCACGACACTTTCTAAATCTGGACATGATGAATATGGGCGCTCACTGGCCGAACCATGGAGTCAGACGGGGTGCTGCAAGCCGTGATTCGCCCATGGACAGAGCATCGCAACTGCAGGAGTGGCATAACGACGACTTAATTATTTCAGCCTTCTTCGCATCCCCCTCGAGAAGTAACCTACAAGGTAATCGAAAGACTTAGATAGGAATGCCGTTAAGGCAAACCCATACATACGTCACGGCCAGAGGCTATGCACAAGGATCAAGTCATGCGCGAAGTTCCAGCAGACTACGAAGCCAAGAACACGAGGTAGAGGACAGCTACAGCAATCACATAGCAAGAGCACCAAATTCCTTGGCCAGCCACTTACTAGCCATGTTGATGGCTTGGAATTTATGAGTGCAACTCACGAATGACTCCAAAACGCTTGTGTGCAAGGTATCCGCGTTGCAAAAACGTCCAAGCCTGGTGGAGGTAGAAATGTTCAGGCGTCACACTAACCAAACATGACAGTGATATATGTGAAACGCACCTCAAAACATATACTGGCTCACCTAAGACTGGGTATCTGACCTAGCTCATTCATAAACCCTTCCACCAGCCCGTTCTGAAACCAGACTACATATCTCCCCTCTCCCTCACAGAACCGTCTAATTTCGCTTTGTTTGCTTTCATTTCGCGATAACGTAGAATCGCCTTTTCTCTTTCCTCCTCCATCATCAACTTTTGTGCCATACTAAGAACACCCTGCGATTTCCCTTTAATGTTCATACCAGCGTCCCCACTCACTCCGCGGGGAAGTTTTTTGAATTCAGGTGGTGCCTGGGCGATATCGTTGAGGCGACGAGGCGCGGACGTCGACGTCGACTGAAACTCTTTGATATTCTCAGAAGCATTTCGTGGCGTCTTTTGAAGAAGCGATGGCCCCAATGTCATTGCTTCCTCTTTGTGGCCCCGAGTCGGATGGCGGGCACTGGTGCTGTTATCCTTCCTTACTACCTTTTCTTCTGCTTGGGCTTGATTCACGTTCTTGGCTTGTGACGACGACGAGTGTATTGCTGACCTGATGGCGGGTAACATAGTCTTCTCTACTCTCCTAACGAAAAGTTAACGGGAGTAGCATCATGAAAAATATCGGACAATACTTGTTGAATTGGGCAATAGTTTCACCGGTTTTGATTTTCAACACAGGTTCGTCATTTTGATACTCCTTCGGATTAACTTCCTTTTTACTCTTCTTCCGCTGCGGCTTGCCGGCATCACCATCCTCCACAACCTTCCGTTTTCTCTCTCTGTACTCCTGTCTAATTTTCTCGGCATTCAAGATACGAGAGGCTGTTTTGGGGACTTTTTCTGTGACTAAGGACGTAGGTGGAGGCAAATCTACACCTCTACAATATTATGGTGTCTATATCAGCCAACGCCGGTATGAAACAGTCAGTAAATTTACGCACTTGTTTACTTTTTCTCGCTCCCGTACAGACCGCTTAGCACGTTTATGGGGCATAGTGATAATGAACAACGCGAATCTGCAGAGAGATACGTTAATATTTCATAAGTTTGGCCGGGATATGCTATCACTCCATACTTTCAATCTAGGATATCAGCAAAGGTAGTCCTTGATGGATGTCGACAAGCAAGTTAGCTCACTCAGAATTTTAGTGGAACCGCACGTGGCCTTTGCTTTCCGGCACGTGACAAGAAATACGGAAAAACTTGTGGCACTTGGATGACCAAAATAAACTCGCATTATTATTCCTGTTGGGATATGAGGCCTCAAACTTCAGCGCTTCAGTATCAACAGATAAGGACATAGGGTCTTTGAGGATAATTAAACAAACGAATGTCGCGTCTCCGAACAATCAGCCATCATTAACACGCCGCTGAGGTACCGTATGACAGTACACCCATATAGAAAAACTACAGTGATGATAATGCACCGGGTTCCATTATCTCCATTCATTTCCAGTACAAACTTCCTTCCATGTGTGTCCAAGGTCCAAGCGTGAAAGTGAATGCTACAATACCTGCCAGGTAAGCAAATACGATTGCTATGTGTACCTAGATGAGGTCAAATTTGATTGATATACGGAAAGCTACGCACGCCATTTCCTGTTCGGACTTTGCCTTATCTCGAAACCTGGTTGTGGAACGCCCATGATATTGCAGAAGATATGGGCGACAATAGGCGGAAAAACGGAGCTTGTACGGATGAAAAGATAAGAGCAGTAAAATCCAAATATGCTGGTATATGTGAACTGAAACACTGAGAATTTACGAAATTTGAATCGAAAACATGATTCATACGAAAATAAAAAACATACATGTAGAAACAACAGCACGTTTTAGTGCTGCGGAAGATCGTCCATAACGATTGTATGTGTCCCACGCGTGGTGTAGGTGCGCTGCCACACATTGGCACAAGTCATCGATGGGAGGCAGACAATTTATTAAAAACGAGTCTTTCGAAAGTGTCAAAAGAAAGCTCTCACCAGCACCGAAAGATAACGGACTCAGGAAAATCATCTTATTCCTTGTTGCGTGCGATAAGTGGTATACTGTCAGGATACAGGCACGAAACACTACTTCCTCGGTAATAGGAGCCTTCATACCAACAAACGTTACATCTTACATTTGCAAATGATGTAACATATGTGACTCACGATAATATAATTGCGCAGTCCTTTGACGGAGAAGAAAATTGGGAAGACATCTTTGTTGAATGACCAGGAACGTTGAAATGGTAACGATTCTGAAAGGAATAGTGCATAGAGTGGTCCCAAAAATAGTAACGGTGTTACAAGGTAAGGGTAAATGGATACATCGTTGAAGCGGAGACCCAGGTGGGTTAACGTTTCACGAATAGCGAGTGAAATGAACTAGCGAAGACTGGTTAGAACAATGTGAAGGACAAATATATTCCGTGGCGCACTTTAGCTTCTCCACCCACGAGATACCAGAATAGGCAGAAAATAATCATGCAACATGTTAACGTCGCAAGACTGACAGCTACCAGACGAGCTCTAATGACGTCTGGGTCATCTCTCCATCGTTCATCACGTTCCTTGTTCCGAATGTGCCCTGCCTGTATTCTAAGATTGTTTGAAGAGAATTGCAACCGAGCCTCTTTAGATGCGTAGATAGAACCAACATAGCAAGAAGACAGTAATGTGGTGAATATATGAGCAAGTCCGGCTGAAACCTGAGGAAGGCTTGTGAGAACGATCGGCATGAGTATACTGAAGGCAGAAGTTGGAGCACAGGGTCTTCAGAAAGACCTCAATTTGAGTGCGAATGATGGTCAAAGTGTATGTTAAAGTGATTGAGGTAGCTTTAAGCGTATTTTAGTTATGTGGTCAGTATCAAGAGACAATTGTTTTGACGCGACTTGCCAGTGGACGCGTGTGGCGATTGATTCAATTCCAAATTAGGCAAGGAGCGTAGTTAGTGGAGAGGACCACGTCGAAATACATTAGTTACAATTTCCTTCCTGCGGCTGACTTCAGGCATAATATTTTCAGGATGTTTATATATTTTTTTGGGCATATTTGTGTCAAAGACAGACTACGTTGGGTATGGTTGAGTGGCGCGTCACAGTGTCACGGTCTACGGTCGTGTGACAATACAAAAGGACGTTGCCCGAGTTGTTCCGACTAGTCTTTCCAGTCACGTCTCATTTTTGTTCTTTGCCATGCACGTATCTCTTATTCGCCGCCAGCTCGGTGGGATCATACCCCCCAAGATTGCGACTCCTTCGCACCTGGTATATGCATATCATATCTTATATTTGTACCACAAAAGCTCACTGTGAACTGTCTAGACTTCGGGTTCTGGTGCAAACCTTACTCCCCTTGTGAATTTTTACTCCAAGTTGCCAAAAGGCCCAGCACCCAGCACCGTCGGGGGAATCAAGGCGAGATACTTTAATGGCAAGAATGCGTCTGGCGCACCCTTAGTGTGGACTATTTTGGGTATCTTCGGTCTTGGGTATACAGTTGACTACCAGAGTGAGTGGGAAAAGTCTTATAATTGACATATTCGTGAACTCACAAATCCTTCTACAGTGCACTTGAGTAAATCTATTTCATAGTTAAATATCCTTTGATAAGGCTAACACCATTACAGAGCACCACAAGAACCACGCGCACTAGTTGCAAGGGCTGGACTGGAGTTTAGATTTTTGGAGGTCGCTGCGGATGAATCATGTACAAAGATTACATTCAAAATATCACACTACAGTGGTAGCTTATACCGCGTATTCAATTGCGAGAACCTCCGAATGCGAGTTGACAGTGCAGATTTCTTGAACAGCTTTAGTAAACACGCTGCAACTTGGCTTTTTACGTTCATTGACAGGCTGAGGTACGAGAACAAAACAAATTCTTATGATGAGGTTGACATTGCGGGCTCAGTACAATTGACCAGGTTTGCGAGTTATTAGCAAAGTCCAGATATTGAATACAGATGTTTGAGTTCGCGATGCATACCTTAAATGGTAGTTATATCCAAGGGCGGTAGGTCTTAGTATCCAGACGCTGCACTGCAATATGAATTTGGTTTCATCTGATCAGAGATTGTACGTAGCATGTTCTTCACAATCATGTTCCCACCGAGGTAGTCTAGCATCATGCCAGTCTTCTTTGATGCTCTTTCGGGGGGCATATTACTTGGTGAGATTCATATCATCATGGGAGATAATCTTATGGCTGTGTTGTACAGCTCTTTGACACGATTTAATGCCGCTTTCTCGAACACCCATAGATTCCATGGTGCTCCATACGAGTCGTGCAATCAAGCCTTATGGTATCCACGCCGCTCCACGATGAGGTGCATGAGATTGCACAGGCTTACTGGGTGCCATCAGCTATCCATCCTATTACGCCAACTGCTGGCACTTTGACATTAGAAGCGATTGGCATTTTCGCTTAGAGTGATACGTGAAGCTGCTGTGAGCTTCGATGAGAAGGAAGCTGGCTTCAGCTTTCTCTCCTGAGGTATAGGGTATAAAGAATGTCCACTATCTCCACTCTACTCGGAGTTGTGGCGCCTTGTACCGGACACGTGAAAGTAGCAGTCTCACCTTCTTTCCTTCGACCCCAAACTGGTGGATCGGTGATCTTCTCAAACTATATTGTGCAACGTTGCGGTCGCTGCGATCTCTTTTCAGGTTCGGAACTTGGAGATGCGCCCTTGCTCGGCTTGGCCTCAAGCTTCTATTGTACCTGGCCAGCGCTGAAAAGGACATCGAGCCACCGAAGTCTGTCTTCTTTATCTTTTGCAAGCTGAACCGTTCGGGGCAGTTCCATGATATCGCTGGTGTTCCTGGTCATATGTATGTGGCCTCCTATCAGTTGGCGCGCGCCAGGATCATTTCCATCGATGACTGATCAGCAAGAATGCAGCCAGCTTATAGGCCGTCATCGTGCATATGTATGTGTAACGCCCAATGTGCGCTACGAAAGTGGATACTACCAATCTGCGGGAACTTTTGATGGAATTCGAGATCAAGGAATCGACATCGCAATGTCTCGGCCACTATTCCCCCGCAACGCGCCTCCATCTGACCGATCAGATGGCTCAGCGTTCGGTACAATCTGATCAGGTACTTATGTTTGCGTCATGTTGCATCATAGTTCATTCATAATGGTTGAAAGGTTCTCTGCGGTTCTCTACCGGAAGGCAAGTGCCATCCTTAATGGACACATGTTGCCCGAAGTTTACGAAACTTGGTTCACATGACAATTTGCTATGTCCACCATCAGAATCACTCACAACTGGATATCAACAAGAACGATGCATAACACTACAATACGGCATTGCGATACTAGCTACAGTGTTTATGGTATACAGAGATTGGATGAGTGCGCGCCCCCCTTCGCGTTAATTTTCCGGGTGTTATGTTGTTGGTCGACGAGCCATTGCTGCACGGCAAGCAAAACAATACTCGTCGACGCTATCCGCGATTTTTTGTACCTCGGGGCCGAAGTTCTGAATTAACGTTCGCATAATCAGGTTGCCACCATTGGCAATATAAGGGTCAAAGATCAATTTAGCGTACTTTGATGCACGCTGGGTTTCGACAATTTGGAGGGTGGAGATAACTTCGTTCGCAGCGACTTGAATTACAGTCCATGATGGCTACGACGAGATGTCTTTGGAAATGCTACAATCAACTTCAAAAATGAATCCATGCCAGCGAAGAGTCACAAGTGATCATACACCACATCGAGTCCAACGTGTTCCTTCACTGATCTATGGTTAGTGGCATCTACGACGAAATGCACAAAATGGACGTACGAAATTTGTCTGCACATGGGTGTAGGAGGCAAACGGAATATGCGTGCGGGTGTGGGAGGTAGCTGGTAACGATGGTCCAACGATATAAAAGACAGCCTGGGCTGCGAAACAATTACAGTGAATATTTGCAAGAGGGGACAAGTATGGTGCCTATATTGCCCACAGGTTTCGTCACCTTTATGCAACTGAAAGACTATCACTGGAACAAGCCGCGAATTCGAACACCAAGCCGGCTTGTTCGAACAGCCGCATTTGTCCTAGCAGACTTCGTCTGTGTGCGATCACTAGGAGTACCACATGTTATCCATGTTTTATTCAAGGCCGCTGAGACGGATACGGACCAATGGTGCTCTTACAAGTTTCTTAGATAATTCGGCCCAAGTTGCAGTGTCATGTGGCCACGCTAAACGTTCTTTATCAGAACCATATGCGATATACATGTATGTCGCCCATATGTGTCTACCATGCTACCCTTCGTAAGCTTGTATCCTTTCTGGAGTGCTCCTTCTCTGTACGTATAACTCCTGCTACCGGGCCACAATCGAGCCGTGTAAATTTACACCAAGTTCTCCGCTAACTTGAGCGACGATTTCTCAAAGCGCCATGTTGTCGTCTTTGGGTTATCTGATGCGGCTCTCACACTGTAAGTTTAGGAAGAAGAACCACCAATCCCACCGATAAACGTTGTAAAATAACTGCGGTCTTGTCACTATTAAACATATAGCCCATAGGATAGGGATCACCCGGCGCTCGGTACTAGGGGGACGTGGGGACTTTCTATCAGAAAACGATATTGATATCGATCGCCATAATTCAAGCTGCGCTTGTCCGAACCTCACCACCATACATATGCAGAACGTCATTTTCCTCGAGGCTTTCCTATCCCCGTATTAATACAGAGGACGCTAGGACTAGTGCACACAAAACACAGGTTTGCTTGTGCTCTGAGATCCGTCAGTCTAGCGGCGCTGCTTATCGTGATTGGTAGCAAAAAGGGGAGTGTTTAGTGCATGGCACTCGGACCTATCATTGCCACCGTATTTCGTCCCTGATTTCCACATACTAGTACGGGGAATATGATATTATGTAGTACTGTCACTGGAGAGATCAGGAAAGTGGGGCAAACAGTTAGCGTCTATAATGCGCCCAGTGTGCTCTTTTTGATCGCTATTCTATCAGGTGGTTTAATGGCGGAACGAAGTAACAGCTGGCGCCGTGTGTAGGCACACTGTTCCTGGGTATTTTAGGAAATGTCACCTTTCTCTTGAGGATGAATCGGGTTGGTAACATTTTGTCAGTAACACAGCGACATATCTTGTTCCCAGGTTCCCAGAGTGCGATCCAAGTCCCGACTTGTCAACCCTTTTCAGAAAAAATAAGGTCAGGTGCGTGTTGAACGTGAGGGAAATGTGCTATGACGCAAATTGAGCAAGTCACGAGATGAACTAACATCAATCATTCGACAGAGACCGTGGCGTCAGTTCATTAACGAAACGTGTGTACCAAAATCTGATTGCAAGATGGCTCCAAGATCAATATTCCTGGACATTGTTGTCAGGTCGACTGGAACTTCTGACTTCTGCAGTCAGGCCGGGTAAACACGTTTTCATGCTTTCCCACTCCAAAGCTCATGTGCATGGGATGGTACAATTAACAGCAAGTAAAAAAGCAGATGCAGATGATATTTGCGATGGAAGATTACTACAAGAGTCAAGCACTTAACGATGCGGATAATAACAAGATAACGGAGAATACGTACAAAAGCTATACGCAGATATGGGGGCAGGAGGCAACTCTCGAGAAAGACGTTGAGGGGTAAATTAGCGCTTTTGGGCTGAGCTAGAAAATTTGTCATTTTTATTGAAATTGGTTCTAGCTCTGAGCTCTGCTTGGCCACTATATAGCGGATCACTGGCAGTGGATTGAACACACTCAACTAAAATGTATATCAGCTCGCGGAAATCGCAGTCATGGTCAAAGCACTCACCTATATTATGTATTGCTATAGATGCTGTCAGTCTTGATTTACCTTTCAGTTGATTCAGCCTCAACACTGCGAAATGGTAATGTATCTGCACCATACTTGACCCGTCAATGGTTGGTATAGAGGCATATGTAACTCGTATGTGATGTAAGTATTAACGAACTTCAGAGCTTGGATAGTAACTGTAATTGTTTGTTAGGGCTAAAGAAATCACCAATACTGCACTTTCGGGGGGGGGGGGTGTTCATACTGACACTCAATGAGGCCTGCTGCAGCAGTCACTACTGTCGTTCCAGAGGTAGTTTACTTTCAGGTGGCATAAACATGAATCATAAGCTGGCACTTTTTTTTATTCGAGGAATTAAGGTTATTTCTGAAAAAATTGTGCGTGAACCTATATCAGTGATTCAAGGGGTGTTTCTCAAATGATATCAGGAAATCCACATTATACGTAAAGATAAAGGCGAAAGGATCTTGAAGCATTACGCATGGGACGACCCTTTCCAAATTTAGGTGAACATCCATCTAGAGAACAAGATAACAAGAAGGCAAGTTCAGCTGCTAGTAAGCTATCATAGGAGTAGTTCGACTTCTGGAGTCCAATGTTAACGTGGACCGAACGTGCCGGGTAAATCCGACAGACATGTTACCGACGTTATCGACTTTTTCGCTGGATTTTTATCTTTGAGCACCTTGCAGCGAAAAATCTGGTTTATCTCCATTCAAAACCAAATCTTAGTTTGTTCATTCGTCGTCTGAGGTATAACAATCCTAAGTTTGTGTGTAGACTGATGCTAATCATTTCATGAATCGCATTTTGCCGATACTTACAGGAATCTGGAGGATTGTTGCGCCCAGGTAAATTTACGGTCAGCAAAATTTCCTCTTTGTTCAACGTCTGAAACTCGGAGCAGATATAGTAGGGCAATTTGATCATCTTGAGTATTGCGAGGGAGATGTCGATATCCTCTATCCGATTCACTGTTAAGCCTGCACATTTAGGAGCGGAATTTCGTGCCGCGCGGCGCGTTATCATCCATTCAGATATTTTGAAGACATCCAAACTATACTCCGGTGATGTGGTCGCCTTATCTGAAGCGGATAACGGCAAAGCGCAAAAGGTGAGAACTATTGAACTAGTCAGCGCGTTTCTTTATAAAAACTTCTTCGAGTTCGTTAACACGAAGTAACTGACTTCTTGTCTGACAGGACTTCGCTGTGGGGGTGTTATGGCCCTCTTTGGATATATCACAGGACTGTTAGTAAAGTCTCACCATGTTGCATGCACATGGGACGGGATTTTATTTCGTTAAGATTGACCCCGTCATTTCCTTCCAGCCATTTTAGTGTCTTCATCCATACTGCTCACGGCAGGCCTGGTGGAAGGCACAAAGGTACAAATTTTTCCCTTGACAGGGAAAGTCTCAAGTAAGGTGCCACTTGGCTTGCCATCACCACGAGACATCCGAGAGGCTGGCACTATCCGCTTCAAGGAAATTTCCAGAAGTACTAATCCGTCGCTAAATCCCACAATTACACGCGAGAAAGGCAAGCGTCGAGACTGGCTCACGCTACTGCTTAGAGAACATCTGGGTCAGTATACTCAGCAAGCTGCTCGTAACCTTCTTTTTAATTTTTTTAAAATTTTTCTATCTGGTGCTTCGACGCTGGTCTCAAGTGGATTTGAAGTATTCAACATTTGCACAGGTTGCCGAGATTTTATATGAGGGCCAGTTACGAAGATTCTCCGTTGTGTCTGTATCTCCAAAGCAATCTCCTCCAGTCAACTCTGTCAGTGCCATAGCAGATGGTATTAATTCACTCTCAATCAAGACGCCAGTCCTTCTTTGGACTGTAGGGTGGGATTCGTCCGTACACATCGTTGACAATGACATGGGCCATCACCCCGAGGAATTTTGCAAGGTGGGTACCCTCCATATCTCAGAAATCTCTTGGTCATACTCGTGCCTGCATAGCGTGATATCGAAACGCTGTCGCAATCTACAGCTTCGGATGCTTATGCATCCGTGGGTGGATTGGATAGGACGATCACCCAAATTCGAGATCTGCTTGAAATTCCGCTGACTCGCCCTGAGCTTTTCGGGTACTTTGGTGGGTCAAATTCCTCATCTATCCTGTTATCTATCTCCGACTTACTGGGCGTCTCACATCGTTACTACTACACTCGCTGCCTGATACAGGATTGAAACCTCCACGAGGGATCTTACTACACGGCCCTCCAGGGACCGGAAAAACGCATCTTGCACGTGCTATAGCCTCATCGACCAACTCCTCAGTTATCATCATCAACGGACCTGAACTCTCATCTGCTTATCACGGCGAAACGGAATCGAAGCTTCGTGATGTTTTTAGAGACGCTCGCGAGAAAAGCCCTTGTATTGTTGTGCTGGATGAAGTCGATGCGTTAGTCCCTCGTCGTGAGGAAGGTGCGGGAGGAGAGGTAGAAAAGAGGGTAGTGGCTACCCTTTTAACGCTATTGGATGGGATGGAAGATGAGGCGAATGGAAAAGGAAGAGTCGTTGTAATTGGTACTACAAACCGGCCAAACGCTATTGATCCAGCTTTACGGAGACCAGGAAGGTTTGATAGGGAATTTGAAATAGGCAAGTACTTTATTTTCTATCTTCTCCTTGACCACTGAATATTGGGATAAATTATTACCAGGCATACCGGACATAGAAGCACGCTCTTCCATTCTTAAAGTCTTGCTTGCCAACGTTCCCCACTCCTTGTCAGAACAAGACATCCACACTATTGCTTCCCGCGCCCACGGATATGTCGGCGCTGATTTGAGTGCCGTGGTTCGCGAAGCAGGGACTCTTGCGATCAAACGATGGATCAGCGTAAATCCTTCCCTATCTACTTCTATTTCTCCCGGTGATGGTCTTCTGCTAAATTTGACGGACATCCTCGACTCCTTGCCCTCCGTGAGACCTTCTGGTATGAGAAGCTTATTCTTTGAGACCCCTCCAGTACGCTACGCCGACATCGGAGGGCAGGGTGTTGTCATCCAGAAACTACGAGAAGCAGTAGAGTGGCCGCTCCTTCATCCGCAAGCGTTTGAAAGATTAGGTATCAGACCACCCAAAGGCGTCCTTCTGTATGGTCCTCCTGGGTGCAGCAAGACGGTTCTTGCTCGAGCCTGTGCGTGCGAGAGTGGGGTGAACTTCGTTGCAGTAAAAGGTCCTGAGGTAAGTTTCACTTCCCCCGAATCGAAAACACTTGATTGGCTTCTTACGCTTTAACGATGCCTAGCTGCTCAACAAGTTCGTTGGTGAATCTGAACGAGCTGTCCGAGAAATCTTTCGAAAAGCTCGTGCAGCATCCCCATCAATAATTTTCTTTGTAAAACACTTTCGTGGCCCTATCTATTCCAACGCCTAATAATTATATTTTCCTTATAGGATGAGATTGATGCCTTGGGCACATCCCGCACTTCCGCAGGCTCAAGTGGTGGAGGACCCCACGAAGGTGTTCTCACAAGTTTACTTAACGAAATGGATGGAGTACAGGAACTTGTTGGTGTAACTGTCATAGCGGCTACTAACAGGCCTGATGTTATCGTACGTTTTGTTCATCCTAGCACGTTCCATTTATCCGGTCGCTTATGCTTATCAGGACTCAGCACTGATGCGGCCAGGGCGACTAGATCGTATCATGTATGTAGGTCCACCGGATCAAGCAGGTCGAGAGGATATACTCGCGATACGCACGAGAAAGATGAGCGTGGAACCCAATCTAGATGTGAAACAAATCGCAGCAATGGTGAACGTTGGCACACTAAGCTTGCTGTTTCCCATATGCTGATCCTGCTCACAGACCGACGGCTGTTCTGGTGCAGAAATCACGGCATTGTGTCAAGAGGCAGCCTTGCTAACGATGAAGAAAGATATCAACGCTCCATATGTTCGCCTCTATCCCATGATTCTTGGGATCTCTCTAGCGATGCTTATCCTTATCAATAGGTCTCGCAGGATGCGTTTATATCTGCAGCAAACGCACTTCAAAAACAAATTACCCCTGAGGTGGTACGGAAATATGAAGACTGGCAAGAAAAGAATGGACTCAAAAGCCTGTGAAGAACTATTCTCGGGCAGGCGTACGCACCTGTGACTTTTGACCGTCTACGGCAAATGATATCCTTTCCAGTATGCTCTGTTGATGGCCCAAAGAAGATGCATCCCAGTGGTATCTAGTCGCTGGCCAGGAATGAATGAACAGAAACGTAAATGTATACAGACGTACCGCCCATATTTGGTGAAAAAGATATGCAGAAAAGATATATCATGGTGTTTAATACAAAACAAAAACGGAATTTGTAAATTGATCTGTACTCAGTGTCTTCACGCGATTGCAAAGGACTGCGATGTTTCTAAGATGATCATGATAGAAATTTTATCCTCTTAAGTCCGCGACAATGACATTGTCAGCGAAGGCCAGAGCAACCTGTATCGCAGTAAGTACTCACGCCACCATTACTACCCTAAGAATGTTGAACACAGTACTTGCACACTGGCGAATACTTTCTCCACGGCTTTCCCAGGTCCCAGTCTTGAAGCTTGACATTACAGTAAAGACATGGTTACCATTTTCTATAAATTCGGAGACGTGCAATAATATTGAGC